CCCCCACCCCCCCCCCCCCCGGGGGGGGGGGGGGTACAGGGATTTTTTCAAAAAAAAATTTTTTTTTCTCAGTATTATTCACAACATATATAAATCGACTCAATTTTTGCAGTACACATAACAATCGGATGCAAATCCGATGTTTCCGCATTGTTTTTTCAATAGAAGTGCTGTCCTCAATGTTACTAACAAGAATACACTCACAGTAGACGCTTCAATTATCTCGTAATATATACTTGCGTGGGTTCCTTTAGGTAAGTATGTTTTTTAGATATTTATAGATCCTTTTTTGCCACGCACTATCTAAGAGAAGTAGTTGAGGAAATATGTAAAAATTTGAACCTCTCCTTTCTCATCATAGTTTATGAAAGATTCTCTGGTAATATTATCCTTGAGGGTGCAAATAATATCTGCATTATACTTCGCATTTTAATCTCAACAGGATTGCACTTGTAGTTTTGTATTCAATACGTCGTTGTCATATCAATCTTGATATAAAAATAGATGGTCTGTAAAAAGACTTTTTTAATATAGAGCCTGAAATTCATCAAGGAATAGAAAATGTTTCTATTGTCATAAATTATTTCCTCCATCTTTTTTTTGAGAATATACGAGAAAAAAGTCATATTAAATTAACGATTATCGTTTAACTTTATAGTTTAGTAAAGATTAATGTTTGTTTCTATAAATCAAGATCGAGTCCTTTTTTATTCAGGACATGAGCTTAAAATTGATACAATTGTTTTCCAGTACAAGCGACTAACAGTCCTACTAAAAAGTATATATCGAGAAAAGGTAACTGAATTTGTACAAAATTTGCCTTTTGTAAACATATCAGAATGATAAGGACAATATTTTCTAGAACTTTTCCATAATTCCCTGAAGCCAATTAACAGTTATATTATTAGAGTTGAAGTGTCGACGTGTATGTGAGAATTTTCCCTTCCTCTCTCACTATCGCCCTCTAAGACACGATGCATCATCAACAAGAATCTTCTGTAAATCACTTCTATGAAGTAGAACTAACAAGTGTTTGTATTGATAAGCAAAAAATGGGATATGTTCGGGTCTAATGAAAGCTCTCGTCGCCAAACTAATAAGGTTAAAATATTAGCTACCCTTGGCTTGTCTAGCCGGAGACATTCAATTTTTTTTAGATATTAACACTGTATGTAAGATACTCACAAGGCAAAATTTGGAGCGAGTTTATTGTTCGTTTTTCATTGTGGTTAGATAGAGCTGGTGAAGTTGTATAAGAAAAAGTGTGTTTTGAATTTTAAAAAAGAGAGCTTTAAAAAATGCAGGAAAATTAACATTTTAACTCTATTTCTTTGAATGTTTGGAAATAATGATAACTTCGATGTTACTTAAGATTTTTTAAGGCTCTCTTTTTAAAATTCAAAATTTGCCCAGTGAGTATCTTACATACACTGTTAATATCTGAAAAAATTGAATGTCTCCGGCTAGACAAGTCAAGGGTAAGTAATATTTTAACCGTGTTAATTTGGCGGCGAGAGCTTTCATTAGACCTGAACATGTCCCATTTTTTGTTTACCAGTACAAACACCTCCATTGTAAGAGGAGTTCATAGATATTTTGCTTAAATCAGAAAATCTTACCCATTTCCCCCCATCACCGTAACCAATGCGTGTTTCATTGTGACATTGAAATTCAGGTAACCAATTTAGATAAAAATATCTTTCATACTCATTCATACTTAAAGTGTTTCTTTCGTGTTGCTTGGAATAAAAGTCACGTCTGCTCTGCCATTTTTCATCTGATTCACATATAAAGCGGTCACTTTCAATCATTGATTGGCGACATGTACTTGGCTTTGATTTGGAACTTTTTATGATTTCTACATCATGATCATGATCATGATTATGATTATGATCATGATCATGATTATGATTATGATTATGATTATGATCACGATTAAAATAAAATATAAGTATAAGAAATGTTATACTAATAACAAATAAAAAACGAAATCGACTATTTTTTAGTAAGCTCATGTTAACGTTAATGAGTTGCATTACTGTTGTTGGCATTGTAGGCGATCATAATTGTAATTTGTTGTTATTACTTTTTTCTTTCTAGAGAAAAACAATTGAAAATGAGCATAAACTAATGTTTCTTGGCTCTATCCTAATGTAGCAGATAATGAGGAAAAACGGTTGGTTTTACAGAGTAATGAATCTAAAATTTTCGGAAAAACGAGTGATCATGGTTACGAAACAGACTGTGAAGTCCACCAAAGATCATATTAATTTAGTTGGCTTTTTGATATTTTTCACTATGAAAAATTGGAAAAAACAGGATGATCGCTCATCAATACTTTTCTTACATGTAGCTGGATGCGAGCGTATGTATTCCTGCGAGATGACATCTAAGAATAAAGGAAACTTTCTTTTCATGATCAAAGTGAGACGCATTTCATAGTAAACTTACAAGTATAAAATGGATGATTCAGTGTTTGTGTTTTACAATAGATGTTGTACTTGTAGAAGACGATGTACTGGTTTCAAAACTTACTCGATCGATAGGAGCTAGCTTAAATAATGCTCGTTATAAGCATACCAAATTGAAATAACTTCATCGCCCTCCCAACGCTGATGTAGAAATGTATCGGCCAACTTTTCTTTTACTCGCACTCACATTTTCGTTCTGTCTGTTTTTACTTTTCATTCTGTTCTCTTTTTTTACGGTTTTATTAGTCGCATTTTCTTTTTCAACAGTAGTATTGCAACTTCTTCTAGAAGCTCGGTTATTTTATTAATAGTAAAATGGATGATCATAAACACACATATTCTAAGAAAATTATATGAAATTTATTTGAAGACAAATGAATACTCGTCGATATATGCAATTTAATGATGAATACTAATTAGTAGACTATCAAAAGAGAGACGAGCAAAAAACAACGCGGCGCATGAAAAAAGAAGCAAGCTTCTGGAGGCATTAACCACGAAAACTTGCATAGTATATCAACGTTAACAAAGTCATTACTAGTGATCAAAAGAACTGTAACTGTTTAATGAAGAATAAACTTTGATAATGAAAAACCCGTCTGACTAATGAAAAACAAAATTGACGAGGACCCACATAGAAAAAGCACGACCAATACTAGAGTAAACAATACGCTCACAAACACAATTAAATGTGTACAAAATAAAAAATAAAAACGGAGAGAGAAGCGAGTCAAATATGTGAACTGGTGAAACGTTATTCATTATACGTACACGTCGAAAGAATCCAATGGGATTGAATCTTTTACTTTACGGCGATTCTGTTATTTATTTAAGCCGGTTAGTTGCCATGCTCGTAACTTTTGTTGCTTTCTTATTCTTCTTCTTCCACTCAAAAGAAGAGTCACGATTGCAGCAGTTACGCTTTCGTTTCTATTCTATGAATGACACTTGAAACACATGAACAATAACGAAAATAGATTTCAATTTTGCAAAGTTTCGAGGATTAGACAAATATTTGATCGGTGACATAAATGCTCGTTTCAAGCGGAAAAATGACGTTCAGGTCAAAAATGATTAAAAACTAACCTTACGATACACACACTAAACAAAAACAAAACAGTAACGAAAATATCCTGTTCCCCCAATAACAGCAAACCAATATAAAAATGAGTTTGCAGCGGAAAAATGAAAAACTCAATGGGAAAAATAGTTTAGATAAATGAAACATCATTTTGCCTATAGAGAAAAATGCGTTCGTATGCAATCGAAATGAACGTACAGGTATTCGCGATAAGAGAGAAGGAGTTTGCGCGGTACTAATTGGGAAAATTTACAGTCGGTTAGATTTTGGTTGACTTTGGTTAAAACTATGATGAGTAAATTTGCATGAAGAGGGGATGCCGAAAATCATTTACGATATAAGCGAAAGCTGTCATGGTTTTGTGGTGATGCGTGACGAATGTCAAAGAGCTGATAAGAAATTTGGTTTCAATGAATCGTTGGGAAAGAAGGAATGTGAAGAATGAAAATGAAAATGAAAACTACTCATATTTGGTGTTTGTAAAGTTCTGTATAGCATGGAATATGTTGTATATTCATGGATATCTTTCCTGAACAGTGACGACAAAAGTACTCGATATGAATTTAGTATACACACGCTGACTTATACTTATATAGTTTGCCTTCTGTTATAGACAGAACGGGAAATGAATTCATTTTTGACCTGAACGGCATTTTTCCGCTTGAAATGAACACTTATCTCACCGATCGATTTTTTGTCTATTGCTGACTCCAACTCTTTCATAACACTATTCGTTGTTGGTCAAAACATCCAAATGATGAAGAGATTTTTAATTGAAGAAATCAAAAATACTGAAATTATTGTTATAAAAAAATTGTGTACTGTTCATGAAAAAAAGATGTTTGTTTCTTATTGTTTCTAAAAGTGAGCAAACAAAATCTTGAAATATGCTGTTCGATAGTACTCGTCGTAGGCTATCAACCGGTATACCGGCCTACTTGAGAGACTGATATATATATATTTGCATAACAAGATGTGCAAATTTTTTTGGAGACAGCTGTATATAAATTTACTATTCATGCACATGGACATACCACTGACGTTACACTAATATTGACATTAATATATTCAATCTAAAACATTGGAAGACTACGAGTGTATATTCGTACGTGTCTAGTTCTGTAATAAATATATCTATTTGTTTTGAATCAATTCTTTGCTACAGTACTTTGATGTAATTTGTTATTTAGGACAGCATACCAAAATACATATAAAGGGACGCGATTTCTTAAATGAAAATTGAAACATTTATTATTTTTTCATCAATATTAATGATCATACCGGAGCATTTGACATGAGTCAAATTTTTCAGATTCAATTCGACTTGATCTGAGCATAGCTTGGTTCAGCCCAATCCGAGATCTGACCAACTCCGAGTTGGACACTATAGTAGTATCAATGAAAACGGTATATATGTAAGTTTTTGTATTGATATATTTAATCAATGGCTAAAATAATCGAACGAATATGCAGCATAATAGTTGCCAGAAAATTTTTTTATAGATTAAATTGAAATCTTTCCCTAGATTATGTCTTCGTTTAACAAAAGTAAATAAGTCTGCTTGACTAATTATTATACAATAATATTTGGTCTTTTTGTTTATTAATTATGAATGTCATACATTATTAATATAACTTGATGTGTAAAAAACGAATCATAATTTATTCGAACGATAGCGTAATCAATGGATGAACTATATATAAATTAGTCAGAGGCGAATCAATGCTAGTGTTTTCTTTCTGTCATGTAAAGCGAATAGAACAAAGCATCGTCTACCTGCTGATTTATATTGTGTAACAATATAAGTCATCTTTATAGAAAAGAAAGTAAGCAATACGTTATTTCAATTAAATCTTGAACTTTGCCTTCTCGTAATTACTTCTAATTAAATATTATTAATCTATCATTATGAATCATATCATAAGACTGTTGTTTAAATCTTCGACATAAATATTCAGAACAAAGAATTCGTTGTAAATAGTAGACCGTGGTCTCTCTCTCTCTCTCTTTCATTATCTACTTATGCCAATTTTTGTGTTGTGAAGTAAGCGTTGATTATATTTGCCATTTTAATTATTAATTAATCATAATTCTCTTTAGTTATAGTTATCGCAGCAGCAAAAATACCGAACAAGCAATTAAGTAGTTCAGCTGACACACAATATTTAGATAGCAGATTTTTAAAAGGGTTATAATCATACCTAAGTCACGCATACAGTATAAGATAATAAAACATTTTAATATTAATTCGTGGTTTTTTAAATCTGAAAAATGAATTCGTAGTATTTAAGCATATGATTGAGAGTTCAACATCTTTTCATCTAGTATGCTGTGAAACTAATCTTCGATTGCAGGATAATATTGATTATTTATTAACACATGTAAAATACTACATATTGTGATAATGTATTCTGCATTTATTGGAAATTATAGAAGATAAATGTTTTTTATTTTTAGATTAGAAAGCTTTGTGGAAAACAATCAATATTCTTTTTAAAACAATTGATTATAGTTATAATTAGCATAAGTAATCGTGAAATATTTAATAAATAAAGAAAAAAAAGAAATTCTATTTGTTCATGAGAAATGACTGATGAAGAAGAGCTACGTGATAATTTGACTATCAAAGAAGATCCATCACATAAAACAAAGCCAGGTAAGATTAAATTCGAAGATTAAATATTTGTTATCGATTTTTTTCAAAATCATCATTAATGATAAAGACATAATTGATCTTGATGTTCAAGATTATTTATGTTAAATCGAAAAGTTCTTTAGAAAAAGAAATTTTATAATCATCAGTATAATTCTTTCTCCTTATTGTTTCATACATGAGAAAGAAATCATCTGGGACTTTCACGGATAGAACAACATTACGAAAATATTTTGAGAAATGAAGTGCTAGTTATAAAACAAATCGAATCTGTTTAATAAAACAACCCAGACCGAGCAATCCAACAGTGGGAACCAATCGAAATCCATCCGATCCGACTCCGCATCCAGTAGGATCTTACCGGATTTTGTCGAACCCTACAGAACTATCATTGGATTCCGGGTTCCGGGTTCGAAGTTGGGTCCTCAGCGTCGGATTCCTATGAATTCCAAAGAAACACCGTTGGATGTCATCGGAAGTTCAATGGGTTCCAACATCAGTTTCTCGACCCGGAATCCTGTAAGATTCTGTCGGATGGTAGGATACTATCAAGTTCCTATCTGATTCAGTGTGGGATTTCTCTACCAGGGTATAACCGATTCCAGCTAATTAAAATCGATTCTGAATCAAGTAAAAGCCGATTATGAATCGATAAAATGGTGCATGATTATAATCGATTTTAATCTGATTTTATCGCTATATTTTTTACATGGGCTAAAGATTATTTGTAAGTTACAAGTAATATTTTGTATGCAAGAAGGAAACATTTGTTTTTAACTTACAGATGTCATATTAAAAGTTTATCTGATAGGTATGACATTCAATAAATATGCAGAGTGAAGGTTTTAATGTTAATAATTGTTATAAATTATTTATGAATGTGTTTCAACCAAGAATGCTAACTATCGTCGATGTTTCTTGTTAGTCTTCTTTAATTATTGCGAAATGCTTTCTAAAAAATTATGATATTAGGAGAAATATATCTTGAAAATTCTATAATTATAGTCTAGTAGTTAAATTTTAAAAAGATTTCCGAGGACAATAGTTTTAAATAATCAAAATTGAAGTCATTATATGAAACATTGGTTGTGTGACACTTGCTCGAAGTGTAACAATTGGAATTATTCTTCTCATCTGTTTCCATTTCTTGAATAATTAAACATTCGATAAGTGCCGCTTGATTTGAACTTAGTGAAAAAATCGAAAATGAGTTTTCTAGGGCTCGCAATCATCCAATGACTGTTGAGTATTTAAGATTCTTATTTAAAAATAAGAATAAGAATAAAAATAAACATAATCTATATACTTATAAATTCTCCAATCGTTCGTTGTGTCCATTTTACTCCGTTAAAAATCTGCGTAGATAATTTATATACAACAACGCAACCTATGAAACATCAATTAAAGTCAGTACCAGCATACAGATTTCCAAAGCTATTATGAAGTTTATCGTATTTTACTAACGAGCTGAATGTTAAAATTTTATTTTATGAGCATCTCTGCACCATATCGATTTGATAGGCACTTTTACACTGTTCTGCAAACAAACAATAAATCCAATATTTTATCTTTTATAAATATAAGACAAGAAAACAAACGAACAAAAAAATTACGGATGCCAAAAACAAAATTTAAAGAAAGTATTGTGTCTAACACACAAATGGTTCCATTGGTTGTTTTATTTCTACTTTAAAAGAAATGTTTAAATGAATAATGAATTGATAAATACTAAAACAAACATATTCCACAAATAGTCTTTTTGTTTTTAGAATAAAGAAATAATAAAAAGAAATATTTATTGTTCATCATTATTAAATATTGAACTAAAGCGTAAGATTTGTGCTGGTGATGCTTCATCATCATATTGAACATTACAACGAATTGACGCTGGAAGAATATTTATATTTAGTTCTGCTAGTCGATCTTTATTCATTACGAAAAATTGTCTTAATTGCTCGCCATCAAATGTTGGTACAAGACTAACCTAATAAAATATCGTTAAATCATATTTCATATAAAAGTAAGAAAGGAATAATTATTTATTTGTTTACTTACTGGTACATGTTCTTTGTTTTCCCATTGTTCTTTTCCATGAATCAATGATTCCAGTGTGAGATGATTAATTTGTACGGCATTTAAAACGTAATAGCGAGCACGTACACGACGAAAAAATTCATCATCAACATAGTGTTGATCACCATGAAATGGAATATAGGCAACATCAACATTATATATTGAATCCGATAACGAAGTTTGCTTAGGCTTACGTAACGATGCTTGTGTAGTAGTATTTGTTGGTTTCGATGTTTCACTTGTTCTAAATAGAATTTATGAATAAAGAATTTATTTTATTTTCTCGAAAAAGTTTACCGATTAGATGAATTGCTTAGCCTTTTAATAGTCGGCTTTATTGATTGAACATTATTTTCAACTGGTAAACCTTGTGGATTAATATCGTCAGTGGAGGGTATTGAATGTTTATCTGTGCTTGATATATCATGATGCATTATTTCTACTTCGTCATCGTTGTTAAGAGCATTGTGATTATCATTTTCTTCACTAATAAACGGATTTTTTGTATTGGATGTTCCATCAATAAAACCTGTTGTCATCGGATCGTCCGAAACTAATTCAGATTGAATTTCAACCATCGGCGATTCAGTGTGACTCTCAACTAATGGTTCATCAAGGTCATCTGTTAACGGTACAAATTGTGGACGTCGAATTTTATCTTCATGATCGTCTATTGATGTTTGATTGTTTTTGTCGAATTCGTCTGGTGGCATTTCCGGTTCATTTTCTTCCTTTCGCAGTTCCTCTATGTGATTTCGAAAAGAGGAATTTTCATCGACTTCATTCGATTGTTCCCGTTCATTATTTTCAGCTTCTAAGTTTTCTTGATGCTCTTTTTGGTCATTTGATCCTTCATGATGTTCATTTTGACCATCTAATACTTCTTGATGTTCATTTTGACCACCCAATACTTCTTGATGTTCATTTTGACCACCCAATACTTCTTGATGTTCATTTTGACCACCCAATACTTCTTGATGTTCGTTATGAATTTCTAATTTTTCTTGCTGGTTACCTTGAACGTCTAGTTTTTGTACATGACTTTTTGTTTCGTTTTCTGTAGCAGAGATTTTCGAGGTTGTTGCCAGAGGTTTTTGTATCTTTTTATCTCTACCATTTGATTGAGCACGAATATGCGAAGTTGGAGGAGTTGTCTATTTATGTAACACAAATTTATTAATCAGTAAAATATCTAACAGATTGATTACCTTTTTTCCCATTGGTGCTGATCGAGATTTTTCAGATTTGATCACATTCGTTTGTGATACTTTTGGCTTAGAATTAGTAGATTGTGGTAAAACGTTTGGTACCCTACTTTTAACTGTTGATGGTACTACTCGATTAGTAACCGGATGAGAAGTCTTAGGTTTCTGTGGAGAAATTTTAACGTCTGCGTTATTTTTGTCAACAGGCGATGTTATTTTCGTATTGCTCTTTTGAGACTTTTGCTGCTGTTCAGATACATGTAAAATTTCAAGATGCCGAACTCTATTCAATGCTTCAAAGACAAGTGTTTGCGGACAAGCACCTGTATATAAAATGCGTACTAAAGTATCTTTGCCCGATTTAGAGCTTGGTGTCCAAACAAGTAATAGACATGAAGAATACCAATGATGTAATGGAATTATTGAAGATGATGGTTCTCGATCACGAATTGAAATCTAAAGAGAACATAAATCTTGTCTTGTTTCGATCTTTTTTTTTATAAATATCATGAGCTTTTGTGTCTTTTTTACCTTTTGCAAAGCTGTAAGAGTCTTTTCATATTCAGTCGTCGATGCAACTGGATGCAAGACATACATATCAAGTGAGCCGAATGCAATTTTTTTAAAGAGATTTATTGGTTCAATAGTTGTTTTCGATGCTGTTGAATGTAGAACTAAATCCAATGTGTCTATATTTAATTTTTTAATATCATTTGAAAATTGATTAATATTGTCTGGCAAATGAATTAAGAGTTTACTATTCGATGATGCCTTTGAACCATTTATTGCTTGTATTTTTGTTCGTTGAATATGATTAAGAAACATAGTACCAATATCTGGCTTGCACGATTGATTGTCATTGAATTCTGAAATTACTTTTCGATGAAGGATTGTTTGTAAGCCAGGTAATACATTATAATCGAAATGTGTTAAAATGCATGCGTCAATATTTTGTAATCCTCGAATTAAATTCCAATACGAAGGAATACGACTATAGACGATAAATAGTACTTAATGAAGTAAAATCTACTCTAAAGAAAATTCTACCTGAATCCGCCATTAATTAATACAACGAATCCTCGAACACCAAATAAGGATGCTTCACCTTGTTGTCCATAAAGTATATAAAGATTTGGTTCATCAAAAGCAACTAAAAAGCAAAACAATTATTTTTCTGTTTTCATTTATTTAGTTAGAAGTGATTTTGTTTTTCGTACTTGTTCCTGAATTATCTCTTGGTATTAATTTCATATAAATATCAAAATTAATTGAATCTTTGGTTAACAGTTGAACGAGGCGTTCATAAAATAAGTGTCCGAATGAATTATCTTGATCGATTTCATCAGACAAATCATTAATTTGAATGTTGAGTAACTTTTTCGCTAAATAACTACTTGACAATTTTGCCCATTGATTTGAAACAAATGGTAAAAGTAATTGAAGATCTTGAATAGCATAAGACGACTGGTCTTCGAATACACTATAGAAATTATCGCAAGTAAATAATGAATCCGATAAAATCAGTGCACCATTAGAATCAAGTTGTTGGCCTAGATGAAGTAACGAAAAAGAAATATTTTACCGAGGAGATTCCAAACGCAAAAATCTTACCACAATAAATAACCGAAACATGACAACAACTATGAAACAAATCTTTGAGCACATTTAATACTGTATGATAACTTGGTAAATAAATAAAACCTGCTACAGAACCATTTTCTGTTTCGGATATTTGTCGATATTGAGAATCTATTGTAGACGAATTTTTTCAAAGTGAAGAATCAAAAAAAAGAAGTAATTTAAACGAACCCGCTTGAAATTCATTTCCACGAATTAAATTATTAAAAAGATCGTTTATTCCATGATACTTTTTATCGTCGATCTTTCTAAATGCCTGTTTGAGATGAACACAGATTTCATCACGTTGTTCATTAGAAATAATCTCTCCAATTATTAATAGGAATCCAACTGTAGATTTTTTCTCTTGTATATCTTTATTCATTGGCGTCGCCATTACATCAGTGAACGACACAACTGCGGTTGAAGATGAATGAATGAAGACGTAGCAGCTGCAACGAATGTGTGTTTCAAATGAATGTTAATGTGTTAGGACAATAGGAAAAAAGAATGAAAGAAATTTTTTTTTATTTCATGCAAACCCTTGAGTAATAAATCATATCCGGGGGAAAATACAAAGTGCAAAGCTGAGTGGTCTAAGCAAATAATTTTTCAAGTAAAGGACTATTTATCATGAATGTCTCAAATCTATTCTTAGATTTTTCAACTCTGCAAAAGACGAGCACTTCTAGCTTGATAAAATTGAGTTGATTAGATGATCACAATATTTTGTTAGTTCAATATAGTAGGAGGACTAAGTCGATGCATGCATTGCCTATGGCAGTCGTCCAACCTGTCGTCAATTTGTTTTCTCTCGGTAGCGAGAATTAAAAAGCTGCCTTATTTTCATGACGTTTGGAAATGTAAAAGAAAGAAAATGATGATAGAAAACAGAATCACAAGTAATTAGAAACCAACACTGATGAAATCTCATCATTGGATATAGAAAATTTTCAAAAGTCAGCAATCTATTTTAATGTTGCAACGAATGAAGCAGTATAAAATAACTGTTGATGGAATGTTAAACTATGATTTATAGTCTTTTTAACGAGAAGACAATCGTCATGCTTAGAACTCGTGTGTGCACATAAATATGAGAAGTTTTTAAAACGCATCTATATGTGATCCTACAGTTGATTTTTCAGATAATTAAATAGAAAATAATGAAGCATTCTTCTTAATTACCAGACATTCGAAAAATAATTTTTTGTTTAATACTCAGCTTAGAATCAGGTTAGTTCACAATATTAAAATAAAAGCATTACAATGAATGACTATATCAATTGTAAATCTGATATGCATAATAAACAAAACAAAAAACATTCTGAACACTTAAGTCGAGCTAATGGATTTTAATTTTTTTTGTATGAATTCCTTGTAGACACTGCTCATTTAATAGTCAATAAGATTTACAAGAAACATTTTATCATGCTGAAACAAAACAAAACGGAATTAATGAAACTATTTCTTTCTAGTTGACGATATCTCTAATAAATATATGACGATGTTGCTCAATAGACTTACTGTAGGAATGAAATAAAATCGTTATTGTCTCTCAATTTATACATACATACAATTTGCCGAGTACTTTTTCATATGATTTGTCAATTCAAATTACCTTTCTCATTGTTATGATCGATCACACAAAATTCCAATTGATGACAATTAATATTGTTTAAAGTATATAACAAAAAAAAAAGAATAGTTCGATGAATGAAATTGATTATTGTCCTTTGATGGCTATTGAATATTTACATAATCATGTTTAATCATAGAATGTACAGCTGAACATACAGTAATGCATTGTTGTAGCTACTTTTTAACGTCTCTTATATACTAAACACGTTGACAAAGAAGTCTTGCAGAACAAGCAATCAGCTACATAATAAAGAATGTCAATTTGTAAGTAAAATGAATAATATATCTGAACTTTGTAAATTAATTTTCACGATGTTTTTGGTTTCCTTTGCAAAGAATTGTCATAGCAAAAGTCAAAAATTCTTATAGCTTCATCGATTCAAAAATGTTAATTACATAAATAGAAAATTGTTATAAAGAAGCGTGAATGTTTTATTAAATTTATGTTGTATGCAAACACAAAAGTTTAACTTGATCATAGCATAGAGTTAAAATACAAGAGACTAGTCGATAAAGTTTATTCATAGGAAATTACTACCAATACAACAATGATGAAGAGTTTTTTGGACGTTCAATTCTAAACAAAATGTTTTCCTAGTTGAATCGATCTCTTCCATGTGGTAAGTCATAGTCGATTTCGGGTCCACGTGGAATGATTCCTGTTGGATTAATCATTAAATGTGACGCATAGTAATGTTTTTTAGTTTCATCTAAATCAACTGTTTGTTTTATTCCGTTCATTTGATACAATTCACGTACGAACCCAAATAAATTTGGATAATCTTTTGAAATCATTTTTTTGTTACATTTAAAATGTGTAAAATAGACTGGATCGAATCTTATTAGTGTTGCCCATGCTCGTACATCAGCTTCAGTTATTTGATTATTATCAATCAGATAACGTTGTTTGGAAAGAATACCTTCAAGTGCATCTAACATTGAGAAAATATCTTCGAATGCAGCATCATATGCCTCTTGGAATTTGGCAAAACCAGCTCGATACACTCCATTGTTTAATTTAGGATAAATCTGATCGTTGAGTTCATCAATACGAGAACGAAGATGTTCCGGATAGAGATCTAACTCTGGATGGCGAGCAAATTTATTGAATTCAGAATTGAGCATGCGAATAATTTCCGAAGATTCATTATTAACTATCTTTTGACTCTAAAATAAATTCATAATATATTCTTCATAACTATGAAGTTCGATATCTCATAAAATTAGCCCAAATTCTACATGTGCATCGATGTTGAATTCATAGAAAAAGATGTTGGCACTTAATTGAATTTTTTACCAAGAAAAATTCTCAAAATAAAAATTTGATGGAATATATTTTCATCAACAATTCAAATTTTCATATAATGTTCGGAAGAACTGCTAAGTATTCAAAAACGTTTCCAAGCTAACTAGAGTTTTACTAAATGGAACCCTTGCTTTTTCTTTACTTTAAGATCGAAAAGCACAGGCACAGTAACACGACCATTATAATCTGGATCATTTAATTGGTAAACATTTTTAAGATGCGTAAATGTTGGATGATGTGGATCAGGATATTTCTCTCCGAATGCCCAGCCACAGCCTTTTTCCATTTCAAGTAAACTATCAACAACCGAATATGATATAACATGATCAAGACCTTTCAATTTCAATAAAACCAGTGTTCGATGAGCCTAAGATAGAAAGAAATATTTTTTAACAAGAATAAACCAGATTAATATTTACCCAAGGACATGCTAATGCAACATATAAATGATAACGATTTGCTTCTGCTGGATATTCAGCTGCAAGATCGTCCTTAATCGAACTATGAAAAGCAGTTACTGGAATAAAACAAAAGGATGTTGCTAAAGAAAAACAATGTCTCAAACAAAATTCTAACCGCCGCGAACATATTCGCCTTTTGGATTTGTTGCAGGACTTTTATTATTTGCCATCGGTAGTATGTTGCAAATGAGAAACAACTCGTATATATATCTAAAGAAGTTTCAAGCTATGTAATGCTGACAAGGCGCATTTTCCTTTTTGTTGTTCTGTGTTCTTTCTTTCGATCACTACTGTGAAACTGTGACAACATGCTTATTTTTTCTTTTCTTTTCTGTTAAATTGGTTGCTAGACTAATTTCATACACGAAGTAGTGTACAAAAATCATATTTTTTTTATCCACAATACGAACAATATACAGACAAAAAGAAAACAGAACGATATATTTTTTTTCAGAAACAGTACAAAGCACCTTCACATATGTTATTAAAACAAAAATTAAGAAAAGTTAATAGTATTTCTGTTAAAATGAAGTCAATTTTTGAGTTGACGAACGATATTTAATAACAAGATTGTCTTCGTCATTGATATTATCGTCATCATCAGCAATATTTTCAACAAATGTGTCACCTGTTTCATGTTCAGGATCAACTTCCATGTCATCATCATAATGTTCTTTCATGTCATAGTTTGAATTCTGTAAATATTCCTTTTTTCTAGTTGACGAATCAGCATACGATGAATTATCAAAAGAAGTTTTTGATAATGTTCGACGTGCTTTTTGCAATTGACGAGTGCGCGGTGTTGGCTTATTTGTTATATAATCATCAGCATTTTCAAAATCATCTGTACCATCTGTATAGAAAAAAAATAAAAAATTTAATAATATATAAAAAAAAAATGTTTATTAATAAACCTCGTTCAATTTTAACAATTAATGGTGATTGTTCAGCATTGTGATTTTGATTACGAAATTGTATAATAGCCATTTGTTCATCTTCATCTCTATTGTATATTTCTTGTTCTTGCATGTCGGATTGAGCATTTACCATTGATTCATCTTGCTGTTGCTCATCTTCAATTTCTTCTTCCTCTTGTATAGTCGCACTTTTCATAGCTTCGACATCAAATGGGTCAACGTTATGAGCATCATAATGATGACGTTCAATAGCACGTAAATGTGTAAATTTATTTGAACACAATGTGCATCGATAGACCGTTTCACGGCGATTAATTTGCTGTTTTATTGGAGATAATGATGATGTTGAAGATGAACGTTGAGCATTTTTCAATGATGATGAAAATGTTCGTGGTCGAATTGATAAACCACCAGCAGGTATTTTCGCATAAACACCACAACGATGAACTTTTGTAATATGTTGTCGAAGGTCACCACGTGTTGCATACATTAAACCGCATTCGTTACATTGAAATGTTCGATGGTCTAAAAATTTTATTTAATAAACAATTGAGTTCTCTGTTTTGAACTACAGAATATTAAATAGCTGTGATACTAATAAGGTATTCTTATGATTATTTCGCTATCAATCGTATCATTCCTTCTATTGTATAATTAGTGAATATATACAGATGTTCCATCACGAGTATTTTGCATAAATTTGTATTTTACATCCCTATTTTTGCATTAGTAATTTTTAACATAGTATTAGCGTTTCTCGTATGCATACAAGAAAATATTCTAATTTCTTTCTTTCATTTAAATTTGTAGAATGCATTTTTTTGTTATGTACTAATTCTAGCTTGTTTTATATTACTTGTAATCTAATCTTACTTTATCAAAGAAGAATACTCTAGCGGCTCGGTAATGGATGATGTCTAGTGATAGATTCAATATCGGCAACTTTTTATACGCACTAATCAACTAACTATAGGAGCAGATGCAAGCAATCAATGTAGTCGTTAGTCTATCTGACATATAATCATGAATATAGGCACGTTAGAGATTACCCTCTAATCTTGAAGTAGACACTTCCATTTTGGAAATTGCTCCTCAACTCATTTCATAAAATATACATTCTTATTCATCATAGTATTTCAAACAGAAAATCTCTTCGGAAAACTAGCGATATTTAGAAATGAATAATTTTATTAACCTCGATGTTGTGAATTCATATGTTCATCAAGCATATTTGGTGAAAATGTTTTATATGAACATAATGCACAAGTAAGTTGAATACGTGGCACAGTAAAATTATTATTATTTTCATGATGAATTTTTCTATGTTGATTTAATTCATTTCTAAAGCAACACAACAACAATTATAGAGAATGTTATTCAAAAATATGCAATACGAATAAACACATACGGATCAGCAAATTCTTGATCGCATTTAAGACATGTTACAAAGTCTTCATCATTAGAATGCTTTTTAATCATATGCTGTTTCAGATCAGCTTTACGTGTTAATACCGTTGGACAATATGTACAATGAAATTTTTGTGCATTTGTTTGATGTGTTAACATATGTGCTTTTAAACTATTGCTTTGAGTAAATCGAAATTTACATATCTATGAAATGCGAAATCATTATTTGATTTAAAGTCAAATACGAAAGTAGAATGATCTTACCGTACATTGATACGGTCGTTCTCCTAAAATAGAAGTACAAAGAATTGTTATGAAATGAAAAGAAGAACAAACTTCTGCTATTAAATACCTGTATGAACACGTAAATGACGTTTAAGTTTAAATGTATCCGGACTACAATACGAACAATGTGGACATGCATACGGCTTTTCCTAATAGATAATTGTATAAAATAATATATAAATCGAAATAATTAAAATAAATTACTTACACCTGTATGTGTACGTATATGTCGACGAAGTTTACTCAATTCAACTGTTGCATAACCACATTCTTCACATTTATGTGGTTTTTCCATTGTATGCCTTTGAAAGAACAACAAAATATAAAATCACATGCAATTATGCTTTCACAAATTGTCCACTGAAAATCTAAGCATATTATGTCAAAGTAGAAATACTAAAACAACAATTTAGTACGATACTTCTACATAAAAATAATCACCGAGTATGCTACCCTCTCTTACTATTTAGTCATAAAATATTAAAAGATACGATTTTTCATTTGGAAGGATCATTATGAGACTTTGAAGGTTGATTGGTATTGAATTTCATAGTAATGCGGTGAAAAGAATTTTCAAGACAATTTATTTTTATTTTTTATCGTAAGTTTAAGCTTCTAGTTCAAATATAGAGTATTTTTTAATATGGAATAGAATTTTCCCTCTAATACACTCTATACAAAGTTTAGTTGAATGAAATATCATCAGTTTCTACAAAAAAACGTACAGGATGATAATTTTCAAGCCTAACAAAAGATGTTTTTTCAATGCTATTTGAAAATCATACTATACTATACTGCACTAAACAAAGTATCAATGACTTTTCTTCTGATCTTATCGTAAAATCTAGTAAAGCAAAGCTATTGTATGATAATTTTAATATTTCAAGAGGCAATTGAAGAGAAAACAAAGACTCGGAATCTATTAGCTGCTGATTTAACATCGTTAACAAACAGTGTTGCTGAAGTCATCAAAGACTTAACAATTGGCGAACAAATAGAAAGTTTCATATGACCTTGAAATTAATATTTACAATAATGTGAATTGCTTAAAATAATAACATAAAAAAATTCATTTCCACAATTCACTTATCTATTAGCAATCTGCGAATATTTTCTACGTACTTATAACGAACATGACGAATTAATTCACCACTTGTTGTAAATTTATATTCACAAAATTTACACTAGAAATATCAATTGACAAAATTAAAAAATCAATAATAAAATATATTCATTTACTTGGAATGGTTTGATGCCTAGATGTGTATTGACATGATTTTGTAATTGTGCTGTTGTTTTAAAAGTATTGGAGCAGTATGTACCTAAAGAAGTCGGGTTTACAATTGAAATGTTATCTACTTTCTGAATTACATTTATGTGGTCGTTCAGTTGAATGGGACTTAAGATGACGTTGAAGAAGATATTTTTTACCTGTACAATAATTACTAATGAATAACAAAATAATTATTTAATAAAAAAAAGATAAAGCTAAGATGTATTTTACCAATAAGGACATAAGTGTTTTTCATCACGACGAATCTTATTTTGTGCCTTTGTTGAATCACGTGAAATATTGTTTCCTGATGAACCAATATTTTTCCGATTTGAAACTTCACTGAACAGTTGAAGAAGCGAAAATTGATGCAAGCTCTTTAGAAAATAAAAATATTCATTACCTAAATTCATAAATCGATGAGTTTGCTTGTGGACTTAATGTCACATTGACTGGTGTGACAGCGGAGAAATCTTCTTCGTCGTCAACATGCCAATCTTCATCGTTTTCATGTGAAAGTTCGCGTTTGGCTGGCCGTCCACGACGTCGTTTCAAAATATTACTACTATTGGTATTAATATTTTGACTTGTGTGTCGCTGCTGCTCTTGTTTAACACGCGCCACCGGCAGTTCGTCAATATTGTCGTCGTCGCCCTGATCGTCTTCAAATGTATGTTCATCATAATCCGGATCATCGGCAAATTTTACATTTAAACTTGCTCGAGATCTCGTTGAACGACGTGTTTCATTAGTCATTTTTTCAATTTTTGGTCTTCTTTGTTATTGATTTCAAATAAGATAAACTAGTTTAACGTAGTGGAGCCACTGAAATCTTAGGGATAGGGGGCAGCGGCAAATCACGACGTCACTGCTTGTCGGCTCTAAGTTGATAAACAACATCATGGAGGTCATTGTTTCGGTTATTACTCACAACCAATTCATATATAGAAAAAAAAACTTAAAAAGGGAATTCTATCGAAAAGAATTTCGCACTTTGAAATTATTTATTAAATATTTGAAGAAATACTTCGAATATTTATGAATCTTTCCCAATGAAATAGATGTCGCTATAGTATGTTGAAAACTTCATTAAGCCATATTATATTTTGTTGATTAAGTATTGATATCGTTCAACAATTTTTCGAAGTTGAAGATAAAGATTCATTGGTATACACATATGGGAGATATGTTTATATGATTCTGATCAACGTTCAAATACTTTGCGTCTGTTCACGGAAATCCAAAGTCATATATTTCAATGACTGTATCTATAACTTGTCAGCAAAGAAATTATGTATGCTATCTTGACAACACAATGATTCTGACGAAAATAAAACTTTATCGAGATATAGAAAGTTTTTTTTTAATCTGTTGTAGCTAAAGACTCAAATTATTTTACAGATGCCTACATTTTTATTAATAGTCTATTGTGTTTGATAAATCTAGTTACGTCTTCACAACTGGTGTTGAAACACAACTGATTTTTGTCTCTATGTCATGACTATTAGAGACAAGTTTTCTTTTTTCAAAGATTTAAATGAAATACAACCGATCATTGATTCAACATCGCGGCTGTGTTTGTCATTTATTCGAGATAGAAACTTCATATCAAAGGAGTGAAGTTAATTACAAGAAGCAAAACACAGATCTTACTCTTTCATTCAAAAACAAAACAGCAAAAACGAAAAAATGAATTGATATCTTTTATAAAAAAAAGATTCTCTTTTATTGCATATTTACTATAAAAAATCTTGCAAAGTAAAGATACCCCTAGCTATTATGTTTACATGATTATGTTCCTTTCACACACTGATTTCTTTTTCTTTTTTTTTCCCAAAGTAGATGATAGATAGTTTTCTATGAAATAGAATACAATATTATAACCAGAATACAATAAATAAATGATAAAAAGAACTTATTTAATTCGATTCTGGAACACTGTTTAATGGTTTATTTGATTTCGATGAGAGAAAATTATTTTTATGATGTTTTTTATTTGCATTATGTATACGCTGATTAAGATCTGGTTGAGAATAAATATATAACTGTGAATTAGATAAGAATTGGTTGTCTCTGGCAACAACTTTAAATACAACCATTAAAATAATAATAAATGTCACCATACCCAATGTAATATAGGATATATAAGGAACGATAAGATCGTTCTCTGGTCGCATTCTAATACAGTAAGATTGTATTTCTTGAGCTAACTCTTTTTTTGTTTTTTGAACTAGACATTTACAAGAAAAAGAATATTGAAGAATGGAGATAAAATTTATAGTAATAGTATTATTTAAAAAACATGACAGAAATAAATAGACCGAATCTACATTCAAGTACAAGAAAAACTAGTTAAGCCATTAAAAACACATTTATCTTAACCAAATAGTTTTAATGCCACGGCTGTTCTTTATCAAAATAAGTTAGTATATCTCAAAGGATATTGTTTTGATTACGGAAAATCAATATTGTTGCTTTCAAAATCAGACTACAAAAGTTTACAATAAAATATTATAGATTTTACTCTGTGTAAAATCCTCAATGCGAATGATTTCAAGATTGCTGTTAAGTCACAGTAATTATATTGATTATCGTCGAATTCTACTATTTTACTCATAGTTTCCTTTGTGGAAAAAGTTATTTCAACGACATTTTGCTTTTATTAATCTAGCAAAGGATTGAGTTCTGTTTTTTTTTGAATACATGCATATTTGAAAGCGATGCGAGCGTAATTTTATCATCCATAAGTGAAGTTGTCGGTATTGAATATCATAGTGAACTAGCATAAATCGCTAATGATTTTTCATTTTCTTTGTCATCGTTTATCTTCTAAGCGTTTTATCTGATGAATTGAGCAAAATTCATGTAACTATTCACTCCATAGAATTTGATTTGTAACGAAAATTTTCGGTGTAAGTTTAAAAAAATGTTGAAATATTCTCAAAGATTAAATTGGAACCAACATTTTTTTTATCGTAGTCCAAAGCAGCAGTTTATAGAGATATTGCTACAATCATATAATTGTCGGTAATTATTTTCAAATTCACTTTTTATGCTTTAGTACAAAATTGTTAAACTGCATCTTAAAGAAAAGCAATTTTTTATTTACAAAGATGATCCGCAACTCTCTCCATACATTACAGGGAGAGAGAGAGAGAGAGAGAGAGATCAAATTAACATCGATTGAAAATAGAAAGTGCTAAATATAATTAGAATGGAATTCTCCGCAGTTTTATCTAATCATGGCCCTAATTAGTATTCAATATCTGTGTATTTGTAAGGGTCATCACGTGTTATATGCGATGCATAATGAAAACCGAAACTAAGAAAAGCAAAGCTATGATAGATTTGACCGTTTTCAATGTGCTTTAAAATTATCTTTTATTTGTTTTTATGTGATATCATGTAATTACTTCTGACATTCAAGTAATTAAGTACAAACTGAACAGTTTCTAGATCAGTAGTTAATTACTTAAAGCATGTAATTACAAAAAAAAGTGAACAGAAACTTCTTAGACGTTAAACAATAAATGAATTAGACGATAAGTGATTGCCATCTTGACAACCGTCATGGAAAATAATACTATAATTAGTTTTGCAGGGATATATAATAAAAGTAACAGGAAGTACGTGTTATTGTATGATGAAATATTGTTTGATAAAATGCAAATATAATTATATACGTAGATATATCCAATTACTCAATTGTTCGTTAATTTTTGAAGATTAGCTGCATCAGATGATTGAGTGACGCACACTCTCGCTATATAATTTTGCGATCTTTGTCCTATAAATCGGCAGCTGGTAGCTTTAATAAAAATTAATAAAAAGGAATCGATATTTTTGTACATGTCAAAAGCATTGAATCAACATTTTCTTACCAATTTCATTCTGAGTTTTAATCGATAGATCGAAACTGTTGGTTATTGTTACGGGTAAAGACGATCGCACTCCAAAAACTTTTGGACTAGATAATATTGTATACGTATTATTCGAGTTCACACTTGAGTACTTGAGTTTTGTAGAAATTGGTGTCCACTACTCAACAAAATTTTCTGTTGGATTTTTATACAATGCATTACATTCGGTCAAGCGCTTTCTTATGCAATAGCTACGATAGGCACTATTGATTGGCTCTGATCGATTAGATTCTTTTCTACATGAAGTTGAGTAGAAAAGACGAGCTTTACCAATCATATATAATTCAAGTAATCCAAATAGGCTTCGCCGACGTCTTGCATTGACACTATCATAGTATGAACCAGATCCACAAAAATTCTCTAGTATACGCCTAACAGCAGTGTTTTGTCGTTCATTTTGAAATACCGTGCTGCACTAAAAACAAAAATCATCATTTCTGATCGATTTGAAACACAATCAAACTAATATCAATACATACAAGAGTAGGCAACATAGAAATATCGACCATTTCTCCATTAAGAAATGTACTAGAGGAATCCGTATATAAAGATTTAAGCATCAATGAATCGATGGCATATTCTCAAATTTGCAAAACAAGATAGTACACACCATATTGATATTGTATAATTTTAATCACCTTCACCATTCGTTTGACTATTAAAACGTGGTTGATAGATCGACATCAGAGTTAAAACCATAGTTGCTGTCAGTACTAATAAAATCAGGCTTAGACATAATGATCCTTCCATAACAGTTGTTGTTGCAATGCTGCCAGTCTTCCAACTGACAGTTGCTGTCATATCTGAATATGTGCTACCAGTATATTTCCGTTTATTTAATTATTTTTGTGTAAACATTACCTGATGCACTGACTGAGCGTTTCTTCAAAGTAATTTTCTAACTATTCGCTGCCGAAGAGTATACACGAATGAGAATATCTACTTCTTACTAATTCGTCATTTATTCAAACATATTTTTTCTGAGATCTTTGTTTTTTTTTAATGAGGAGCTTAAAATTCATAAAGACCGTATTTCAATCGATGTTGTATTTTAACGAGTATCGATTTGTCTTATTTAACTGTAGCTTTTTTCTTTCACGTACATGTCTATACACAGCTAATATATACTTCACATGAGGTTTATGTTCGATTAACAATCTCTATTTGAAACTACTTGAAAGATGGTCATTTTCCACGATTTATATGTGAATGTTATGTTAACATCTGTTATATACGACAAGAAAAAAAATGAAATTTTAATTCTATAACAATATGCTCGTTTGATATTCTTCTTTCTGATAAGGGAACATAAAACTATATATTTAATTCGGTGAATTCTAAGGTTACAGTTTCAGATTAATGATTAGCGACTCGAAGTCATAACATGGAAAACAATATTAGATTTTGTAGCTGATAATAAAAAATATACATATATGAATATATTTTGATAGTTAGTTTTTAATAACTATAACTTCTTGAAATGGATGGATATCCCAGAAAAACTTTCTTCTTTCTTACCAACATTATGATTTACAATCATTCAAAAATGTTAAAAAGAATCAACAGTAGATTACATGAATTCCTACTGATCGTCGATGTGACTGGTGATATTATGCAAAGCAATGACACAAATATTCATTTATTGTGATCTCTTTAATAAAGCTACCATATGCAAAATATCTACCGAGTTCTTTAAACTTGATGAAATATATTTTCATCATAAAAATTATAATGTAGAAGAGCTTTTCTTTGAAAGTTGCCATTCAATGTGGATAATTATGATGTAGAAAAAATTAAATGGTCGATATAAATACTCTTATTCTTTTTTAGAAGACGGAAAGTTGCTTTCAATAATCTTGGTATTTCGACTTGAAAAAAGTTAAAAAAAAACAATATGAATATAAGGAAGAAACTAAGAATTTACTAAAGTGATGCTTTAGACTGTTGTTAAATAAGTTATGTGCTAAAAACGTTTGTTCATGTCAGTTTTCTATGGCTAAATAATACGTCTCTATTGTATATTTAATTATTTACATTTCGGCTATACTTTTAATGAATGGTATCTTCAAAACAAGGAGAACGTGATTAAGAAGGTCATTAAAAAGCAAAATAATACTAGCAAAAGCCTACAAGTAATTGGTCAGCTACATTGTTGTTTTTTATATCACGTTTGCGCCATGACATGAACAACAGAGAAATATTCTTGTGTCATCTGTTTTGGCACAACCCGTTTTTTTCAAATTGATCTATTATTTATTTTCCTGTTTCTTAATAATCAAAAAAGTCATTCATTTCTAACGACTGATCAGCACTGGCAATTCAATGAAAATTTATTGTAGAATAATATAGGAGAGTTTCGACATGGAATTTCGAATATCTCGAAAGTTCTTGTCAAGAACTTTTGATGAAAAATATAAAGTGTCAACCCATGAACGTTTTTTTTTTCAACTGAAATTTTCAATATACTGTGAAATAGACTAAGAGATTGATGAACGCAAATGTTTTTTGCTGATTCTTGTAATTTTATTGAATCCTTCTTGTGAATACAGTATCAGTTAAAATGGCACAGTTACGCCAAGATGGTGCTTTTGTAATTAATAAATCTTGATGATTTTTTTTTTCGTTTGAACTTCTTAAGGGACGTAAAAACAGGATGAAATTGAAATTTTGTTTAAAAATCTATTCAAAAGAAAGCAAAATGAAAATCCGAGGGTGCTTATCCTACTCTTTTTGAATCGTACTCTTGTGAAAAATAAAAACTTTTACTACAAGTATTCAATTAATAGAATTATAAAATGTTACAATAAAAGTTTCCTAGAAAAGTAAAGGTAATTTATACATTTACTCTTACGATACTGTATTTTTCAAGATCGCAATAAGAGTAAAACAACAACAACAACAACAACAACAATTAAAACTTCAATCTCATATCGTCAGAAATCTTAGTTTCGATATATGTTGAACATCTAAATGAGAGCAAACGTCAGCAGTTAAAATAAAGTACATCTCTTGTAAGATACTTCACCTTAATAAGAAAACTAAAACTCTTGTAATCGATAGTTGTGCTTCATTGTTCTTTTCAACGCAACTTTATTTTAAAACAAAAAATATCTGACACGAACATAATACTACACACTGAATATCATCCGAAACCCAAAACAAATTGTTAGAAAACATAACATACAATGATTAATAACCATACTAATTATAAAACGAAAAATGAGACGTTTATTTATACACTACTTTCATTTAAAAGGTTTTTATTGGCATGAATAACGCCATTGCCCAATTCATCTGAAAGGTTCGATGCATATGATAATGTTTGTGGGTAATCATTTTTGTTGATTAAGGTATTTAATGATGCTATTGACTCATAGAATGATGATTTTAATGAAACACTCAGGTCATCATCTTGATCAATGTATGCAAGTTCCGCATGATCAGAGACAGTTTTTTTTTCATTTGATAATTTTTCATTGGACGATAATTTTTGTTGAATTAGATTATCAGTTTTATTTAAACAAAAATATGTAGGATCGTATTCGTTAGCAAATGATGATGCCGGTATAGAATAAGAAATTCGAGCATTTTTAATAAGTTCATTCTGTTCTATTGATAGATCTACTTGATCATCGGGCTGAATGGTATTTGAAGAATTTGAAAGGCTTCCATTTATATTTGAGGTAGAGAAATGAATAATGGGGATTACACGAATAATGGCTTGAGCAGAGGATGCTTTCGGATGAGTACATGATCGAGGCAAAGCCGTAGAAAATAATTGAAACTAGATTATTAGATGAAATAGATTTTTTTTAAAATATTCTTTATTATTATAGTTTTTTACTTGAGTATTTTTAGTGTTTCCACTGTAAAATTCGATGGGACTATCAACTGAATTTTGTTGAATTTCTTCATTGAATGAATTATTTTCGAATTGTTGTGCATCATCATTGCTAAAAAGTAACAGTTACATAGTATAGTAATAAAATTCAAGCAAATCACTATAAAAATGTTTAAAACTTTCATTCAAGAGGCCATGAAAAGAAGTTACTGATCGGTTCCTTTGTTCTTTTTTTCCTGAACAACAAATGCTAGAACTTACTCTGACAATAGGACATCGAATGATGATCGCGGTAATTTCTTATGTAGAATATTTAGTGACGAATTTATTTCATCAGTATTTATTACATGCCGACGGCAAACATAGTTCTCTGATCCAACTATAGTAAGATGTTTGGCATCGTCTATATAACTATCACCAGTGGATATTCTTTCCAAATTTTGTGATGTTTTCGAACAATTTGCACATGATGAACAGTTTGAAGGCGATGATCGCGACATAGAATTTTCTTCTGCAAATGAAGGAACGTCATAGTCGTAATTTACTCTCGTATTAATGGATGGTGCTGGTCGTTCGACGTATGATTGCTCTGAGGGATGATCAGACTTTTTACATTTAGAATAATATCGTCTTATTAAATCAAAATTTAATAAAACATAAAATGAAAGTATATAAAATGATAGAATTAAAACAAAACCTCCATATAAGTGACCATAGATAAAATGTTCAAAACGTAATTTAAATAACTTTAATGGGTGTAGATAAATAGCTAAACTTGATAGTAATAGAAATATAAGTAGAATTAATTGAAATAATATCGATAGTAATTGATTGATTGACTCATGTTGGTCATTCATATTTGCTAAAATATATTCATTATTTTGATTGGATAATTTTAGAATTGCTGAAACTTCATTTGATTTCGATAATGACATATTATTATTTTTAATTCTTGATATATCTGAATGATTTGTTTCAGTTTTTAAACGTCTTATACGATTATGAGTAGATAAGAGAAAGAAAAGTAAAAGAAAAATAAAGATAAATATTGATATAATTAATATGAGAATTGAATAAAAATCATTGAAGAAACATCTAAATGAAAACAAATTATATTTTTAAATGGAAAGCAATAGCTTTTAGTTAATATAACCACCAGTATTTTCTATACAATATCGAAGAATCGATCGATGCATATGATACAACGTAGAATGCGAGACGCACAATTCAAATATTTTATTGCGCTTATGTATGATTTCAATAATCAACTCAAATAATGTCTTACAAAACCGTATTTATCTAATTTAATTAGAATGATCAATAGGATAGTACTGAACTGATCGAAATTCTAAGCTATTTGATTTTATGAACTCGGAAATATTTTAAATGACCTAATAAACAAATCAAAGCACTGATGAATAAGCGAAAGTGCACTGATTCTGGTCATAATTTTCTAAGTTCACTCTTGCATTGATTCAATGACTGTTGATCAAGAGAGCTGTTCCTATGCTATTGTGTGTTTTATACTGTTAGTTGTTGTTTTTTAATTATTATTTAGCATAATGAAAATATTTTGATTGACTAATTCTTATACTTTTGGAAATGTACTCCGTTTTTATGTCGCAATATATCTTCTAGCGATCCAATTTAAAAGTAAAATAAATGCGAAAACCTCGGATTTAAATCCGAGTGTTATGTGTACTTCAAAAAGTGAAAAGGTATATTCACTTTTTTTTTCTATAAGACATAGATCTCATCAAGATAATCCCTTGTCACTAAATTGCAAGGAGAAAATACAGGCGTGCTAAGTTAGCATGGACCACACTGTATGCGACCATATCCGGTGACCACTGACTCTACTCTTAGAGTGATATAATATCTTTAGAAATCACAGAAATTAAGTTCAGATTCGTGTTTAGCTTGGAAAACTGGGCAAGAAGAGTTATTTTTGAATGGATTTGCGCTTGTATCTAGCGGAATTACGATCGTAAGGAACCTCATGAATCTATAAGAGATATATGATAGATACAGGCATCAGTATTCTCCTAATAAATCACCAATATTAATAGCTATCGAGTTCGGGTTTTTACCTTTCGATAGTCCTTTTGACTAGCTACAAAACCAGGCATTTGAGAAACCCCAAAACTACTGGTCATCTGAAATATATTTAGCCAATTTGGTTTCTGGATGCAGTTTTTGTGCATTTTTTAGACCTTTTTCAGGCGATATTTTGTTAGAAAGCTACGATTTGGTTCAAAATTAATATCAGATTCGGAATCAGCGTTAAAAACTGAGTCGATTTATATGTGTTGTGAATAATTCTAAGAAAAATTGTTTTTTTGAAAAATCCCTGTACCCCCCCTCAGGGTTGGATTGGTCAATAATGACAATTTTTTCGATAACTCAACCATTTCTTGGCGGATCCTTCTCATCTTCGAACTCGACTGAGACATTAATGAGGCTGAACTGTGTAGAAAATTTCATCATGATCTAACTCTCCTTTCGAGAGTTATCGTGTAAACGGCCGGACACACTGACCGATTCTAGAGTGTACTCACTTTTTTGAGTACACAAAAAACCTTTAATCAAAATAACAAATTCATTATTTGTGCACCATCAGATAAATCATATAAGTCACATAGGTACTGCTATTGAAGTTTTTGAAAAATATTCCAAAATTTCAAACGTAAACTTAAACGAACAAGGTTCTGCTTGCCCAATCAATCATTCGATTAGTTACAATCACTGATTGATAGCCATGATCATTTGCGTATCGAACCATGACTTGACACGCTTACGAGAAAATAATAACTTTCATGGTGCTCTCTAGACAATGTACGTATATTTGTTGGTTGTTAAGAAAACCGAATAGAGCTTATCAAACTTCTGCTATTGATGAAAAAATAATCAATGGTCAGTTACACATTGATCTTTTATCGATTTCAAATTCAATTGCACAATGATATGAATCTTTTCGCTATTACTTACATGTCATTTATCATATAATGTTGATGTGATACAGCAATATTCATACAGCAAATGATTAATGCTGTTCCATATGCTAATAAATAAAATTGAATGACAGGTTTCGATTTTGATTTCATTTTTGATGCATGATCATTAATCATTGATGAAGACGATTGCCTTTGAGCATCTTTGTTGGTCGATTTAATCGATTGTTTACTCCAAATAGCACTAAAGAAAAACTATTATTCATATAAACCAGAAATAAAAGGTTTCCTTACTAAGTTAATAATGTTAACCAAATTATTGTTGTTAAACAAAGATAATGAAGAGTGAGAGCTATAAATTCGCATAAAAGTTTTAATTGATTTTTTTGTAAACCGAATGCAAACAATGGTAGTAAAATTCCAAGACTCAGCCAATAATTAATTAAACAATGAAAAACAGATCTTGACATTTGATAAACTCTAATGAACAAATAACTTTAAAAATTATCCGAAGAAAATAAATTATTTATATTTACTCAGAATAGCAAGTACAAACAAGAATTGATATAAAAAAACAAATTGATCCTATTATTGACGAAATATATATAGGAAGTTGTGAATAATTTGTATAGATAAGTAATTTTTTCGAATTATTTATATTATTAAAGTATGTGACTGATAATGAATCATTATTCAATAGAATACAATTTGTTGACGTAAAATTAGCGTCCTAAAAAATAAAAATGATATTTCATATGTCATAAATGTAAATCAATAAATTAAGTCTTTGAGTAGATACTTGTCTGTCGATTTTACAAATCGACGAGTTCATTTCCCAGTTTGATTGATTTGAATACCATACTCCAATCGATGATTTATCTGATTGGCCATAAAATGTTAAATTAATTGTAGATAAAACATTTCTTGAGACTAAATAATTACATGAATAGAGAAAAATTGATTCTTAAAAAGCTTGATGATGAACAAGCAACTTTTAAGGGGCAATATTATCAACACTTCTAGATGAAACTCACGAAAATACAAACAAGCTTCAATTTGATCGATATTTACTCGAAGTATGTGGACATTGGAAGAGTTCAATGCAACTAACGCAATTAACAAGTTTCAAAGCTTTTAGATGAATTTTTTCCAAAATCTGAATTTTCTGAAGTATACCATACTATTAATCTCTTGATACAAGCTACACTGTGTCCCAAGTGTAACATTATCGAGGACCATAGTAGCAACACAAGATACCGCAGACTAGTGAACAACAACAATTGAGTTCGAAATTAATTTCTCCTAAATTTCGTTTTTACTTAAAACTATTTCCGATGAAAAGTAAAACCATCCAGATCCAGACACACAGATCAAGTATCAATCAGTTACAAGTAAAAATCACGCATAAGAAGTAGGCAGATTTTTAAATTTTATATGATTTTGTTTTCATAAACAAACTGATTATGGCTACTATGTGCTATTTTAATTATTTATAACAAAATTAAATCTACATGAGTAGTGCCTAGGAATTCATACGTCAGCAAGTCACATCGAAATTTCGATGAGCAAATCTATTTTATTTGAGTTTATCTGATGAAAAATACACATCGTCATAGATATCCTTCAATAAATGATTATCAAAATCATTGATATGAAATCACGATACTAAAACTTCCAGTGGTCCGGATCATATCACAAGAAATTTACTGAAACTATGCCAAAGGTTCTGGGAAACAAAAACATTGCCCTATCCAGAATTAAAGAGTATAGATAAATGTTTTATCATTTCAAGCAAATTATACTATAGGTCATATCAATCAAAACATAATTTAGCGAAGTATGACAAAAAATAGTCCGTTTTATCATGGTAATACATAAGAGCAAAACAAATATTAAAGAATTTCTTGCAGATTTTTATAAAAGTAGATTCTGAGATCGAGTTCTCTAAACTAAAATCCGACAAAAAAGAAACAATTAATTCAAAATATTTTTGCTCGTATATTGTTCCTTTCATTCATACAAAAAAATTTGACAGTTTTACCTGGTCGTATATAAACAACTGGATTGTTATTCATTCCTACTGTATTCGGTGTAAACAATGTTGATTGACGATAAACAATAATACGGAACAAAGAGTATTGCTCTGTTTTATTTGAATCAGATGAAAATTGAATTGTTACTAATTGAGACTAAAAAAGTTAAACAATTTAGAGTTCCATAATTTTACTAATGTGACTTTTGATAGTAATCCCGAAACAATTACATACATATCTATATATACATATATATAATGACTGATGCTTAATGCTATTAAAATAAATTTACATATCATTAATGTAATAAATGCATATTCAAATATGAAATATGAGCGGTTGATAGTTTTTTGTAAAAACAAAGCGTCATCAATATGAGAAAAAGCAGATGCATAGTGTATAACTTAATGTGCATCTAGTCATACATCTATCTGATACTGAGCCCGATAAGCCTGAACGTCATCATTTATATTTTTCTATTCTCTTCTGTTGAGACGAATAATAGATCTTCTAGACGAGAGTAGCCTATGAATATTTTTCAATGAAAATATTTTCTAGCGTGAACCTATTCTACACTTAAACTTGTGAAACTCTAGAGTAATTGGTGAAAAACTTTCGTTGAATTCAACAACTAATCAAGTTAATTCTCATGTTTTATCAAACCTGATGAGATTGATGATCAATGTTACAAATAATTGTCAACAGTGATCGATTTGGTACTGCACATGATACTAATGATTGGACTGTAACGGCAGTTAATTCTTTTCCTATATATAACCAAGATGGATTCGTAAAATCTAATAAACGTTCTATAATTGATCTCAATCTAAATCAAATAAAAAAATTATTAAAAAGAATAGAACATAGAAATCTAGATTTTCTAACCTTCCCATTGCATTTTGATATTCATTTGAATAAATAAAATCATTTTTAATTTGTAAAATAAAATCTGTTAGATGATAAATTATAATGATTTTATCTTGATGTTGATATTTCTGTTTTTGTTCATCAATTAAATCAATTAATAAAATAATATCATTTAATTGTAAATAATTTTGATTTATTTCTGATAGATATTTACTTAAACGTAATAATACATTGGTTTCATTGAATGATAAATAATCCATTAATCGTGACACATTGGTTTGAAATGCACATTGTGATACATCAAAATTGATCCATTGTCCACTAGATGAACAAGTGTACCATGCTCGAGCATATTCATTTGAATTTCTCAACCATGCTGCAGTACCATGTGGACAAGTTTTTGCAACTCTTCTATTCATTAATGTACGCGGCCAATAAAAGTAACCTTTTGATGTATTCATTTGTTTTGATGGGCAAAAGTAAGTCGTTGGAGTTGTTATTACAGTTAACCAAAGTGATTGATTAGAATCTAAACTATGACAGGTCCATAATCCTGAATGATTCGTTCGTACATGATGAATAATTACAGTTGAATATGAAAATGATGTTATAGTAGATGGATAAAAAGTGTGATTCAATGTCCAATAATGCTGAAGATTCGATGAACAATTTAATATAAATTGTTCATTTTCATAAACGATTTGTGATTGTTGAGGATAGATTTGAAGAAAATTTTTCGCACGACAAAAATCATTTTCATCAAATTGTTTATTATTTTGACAGAGAATAGATTTGAAAAAGTTCTTTGTCTTAAATAGCTTAAATTGACACGTACAATGAAATCGATTATTTGATAGATTCAAATTTATATTTGAAATTTTCTGAAACGTATGCGGGATCGCTTTCAATGAATTATTTTGAAGATCGAACGAAATTAATCGAGGAAATTTAGAAAGTATATTTGATGGTAGATATTTAATTTTATTAAATGATAAATCAAGTATTTGAAGTGAATTCAAATTTGGTAAATATTTAATTGATGTTAAAGAATTCGATGAAAGATTTAAAACAATTGTTGATTTAGGCAATTGATTATTGATTTTTAATAATAGTTCATTAGTTAAATGACGATTTGAACATTGCACTATAGTTTGATCAGATGAACATATACAATACTTAAATGACGGGCATTCATTGCCGAAGGAAAATTGAATAAGATAAAAAAGGTATATTACAATATTGAATACCATAATTAATATGAATGCTGCATAATCTTAATACTAGTCATTGAGTAATATAACCGTCAAGATGTAATAAAACAAAAATTAGAAGTGCTGACCGCAGTTGAAGTCAATAAAAACCAACGAAGTGCACTTGGCGTTCTTTGTTCTTTTCTTTGTCTTCTTGATCGATATGTATTGAACAATATCATATATGTCATCAATTCATGTGTAACATATGCTTTCTTTTCTTTTCTTCTTTTTTACTATAATAATTACCTGTATCAGTGTAAAACGTTTTCAGATATAATTAAAAAAATCCAGTTACTTGCTTTTATTTATAAATAATAGAAAACCTTGCGAGAACGATTGTTTGCACTTGTGAACATCGTTTGAAGTCAAGTTTGATTTAACTATATATATGCATGTAGTTTGAAAAATCATTATAGACGTAGATGGCGTTCATTGTTCACTCAAGCATTTGCGAAATTTAATTGATTGTATTGAACGAATAAAGACTATTTTGATTGTTAATTTATGAGAGACTGTCACATATTGTTAAATCATTTGGAAAGATTCGATTTTTTTTCATGAGATATTTCTTATTCAAGTCGGCGAGTACGATCGTTAAGAAGTCATATATCTTACATCGTGTCTGCATAAATGAAAAAAATAATCATTATACTTAACAACTTCAATCATTTTACCGACTTTTATTCATTATTTGTATACTATGAAGACAATGTATTAGTTAACAATGTGTCTGATCTCAGATGAACTTTTTCGTCTATAGTAGTGCATCTCCTGTCAAGTCGAATTACATGACATATGAATTTTAGCTTGTAAATAGTAATTTACATTAGAAAAATACCTTATAGACTCGTTTGAATATACAAAAAAAAAGAAGAAGTAAATATATATATGTATGTTTTATGGAGTCCAGTATAAATTTAAAGAAGATATATTGAAAATCTATTTTTCAGAAGATTTCAGAATGTACCATAATTTTTTTTTTGAAGAAAAAAAATAGATTTTAAGAATTGAATGAAATGCTTACTGATGATACATGCTCTATATAAACGATAGAATTCAAGATCAACATTTGTACCTAAATCAATAGTCGTTCGTTTATATATCGACGTAACTTTAAATCACAGTGATCTTTCTTAGCTAATATTATTTATACTTCTAGTAGATTTTTCAAATTGCAGACATATACATGAATAGAAAAGGAATTGTATTGCCTTTTTGAGACCATAAATCGCAAATAAATATTGAGTCTATTTCGTTTCTTTCGATATCATTTTAAACTATTTAGTTTTAAATTAAATTCATCCATACAGTTTCATTCTAAGACAATGATTACATTTATTCAAGTATCGTTTTACATTGCATTGGCCTATTTTTCCCATTCATTTTCACAATCAAATATCAAAGTTTATTGATAATAGTACATCGTTATATCACATACTTTTCGCATTGCAGATATGCAATTGACGTATGCTTATCGAGCGCAAGATAATGTCCATATGTGATATTTTTCTCTTAAGAAAAAATGTTTGAAAAACGATAAAAAATGCAATTGGAGAAGAGAGAAAAAAACCCATTGTCATGCTCCCTCAAACGTTTCTTTTAATATTGTACTGCAAAGCTATTGGATGAGTGATAATTGCTATATAATAATCAACAAATCCTTATACTAATCTCTATGCAATTTATTTTTTCGAGCAATAATTTTAAAAATAATAATAATAATAATTTTCTTTTTCCTAATGAAAAATCACTGTGTTGATATCACTGCAATTTGAGAATTGCTCGATCACTGTTTCATTTTCTTGCTCGAAAAACGCCCCATCGTTGATCACCTCTAGCACATCGTTCGAGTTTTCCATGCCAACCTTCAATTAAATGATCATAATCATCACTTGAGAATTCCTTGTTGTAAAAAAAGTAGATTATATAAATCATTGAAATATCAAATAATACACAACTTACTTGAATAAAATCATTTTTATTTGATTCAATGCGAATTAGTTCCATATTGAGACATTGAACAAATTTATCTGTTGCATCTTGAGGATCAACATTTTTAAAGCCAACGCTTTCCAAGACCTATTTTTTGCAAATAAAAAAGAAATAAAGTTCAATAAATATTCATTATATACATATATATTATTTTTACTTTGCCATATTCTGCTACAGTTAAAAGTGTATATCGTCGCTGATCTACATATTCTGCATAGTCTTTTGACCATTCACTTTTCGGTGCACAAGTATAATCACTAATAAATAGTCGACCACCAGGTTTAAGCCAACCCTATTGGATTGAGATCAACATAGATAGAAGCCTTATATATAATCAATCTTACATATAAACGAGAAAATAGAGTCTTCTTGTCACTTATATGTAAAATTGTATCACGACTGTAGATTACATCAAATGAATTTGGTTGAAATTCATGATGCATCACATCACCGATTTCATATGATACCTAAACTTAAAGATTTTAATAATAAAAAATACATGATAAGAAATAATTACCTTTAGTTTATTTCCCGACATGGCCATTAATCGTTCGTAGGCAATACTAACCATATTAGTAGATAAATCAACACCAATTACCGAACATCCATAAGTCTTTTCAGAAAATAACAATAGATTTTTAATCAATTTATAAACTTATACCTCAGCCATATAGATATCACCTCCACCAATACCACAGCCAACATCCAAAACGAGTTGATCACTTTTAAGGTCAAGCGATTCAACAAATTCCTTGAAAATAAAATTTTTTTTTTTACTAATGAAGAATTCTTACACGATGTATTTAAATCATTATCATTTCTTACTAACAATCAATTCTATGACGAAGAAAAACATCAAATAATTTTCTTAATCATATCGTTACAACTTATGATAATTTATCTGTGAAAAAAAATTTATCCTATCATCATATGTTCAGAAAATGTTTTAATAAGCTATATATTCTATTTGTTTTATTCAAAATTTAAACAAACCTTTGTTGTATCTAAACCACCAGTTGATACGAAGCCAGGTCCAAAGATTTTTTCATAACGTAAAACACCATTGGTAGAATATTGTTGTTGATCGAGAAAATCTTGAAATGTTGAATGTTCATCTAGTTTAACAATTTTTTTAAACCGATAGCATAAATGAAATGGTTCATGTTTGCTCTAGAAAATATTCAAAGCTCATTATTAAACAAGAATTACTTTATAGTTACTTCAACAAAAGTGCGCATCGGTCGTGCAAAAATAAATTCAAAGCCATATGTTTGCTTTTCAGTTACTACAGTAGAATTAAAATAATGAATAAGATCGACTGGATTAGTTGAATGACTTCCTTCAAAAAACAAAATGAAAATCAAATAGTCGTCTTCTTATTTTTGAAATATTAAATATTCAAACCATTTTCTTTTGACCATTCATCTTCATAAACAAAAATTTGACCATCAACTTTAAGGGATTTTAAAACATTTTTTAAAATTTTTTGTTTTTCATCAGTATTCAAACGGTTAAATGATTTAATAAGGAGAACAACATCAAATCTGTAAAAACAAACAATTTAAATTTCATTTTACTTAATTTTCTGAAATAATTTACAAATCATTTTGCAACTCAGCATTGTTAAAATTGGCACAATTTAAAATTGGTGCTTTCTTAAATTTTTTTATTTCTTCATCTAATTTTTTATAAGTATCGGATGATTCTGTGAATACAATCAACTGTTCAGTATCCAATAATAGATCTGTATAAGAATTTGGACTACAGAAAATATCACATTACTATTGTATAAAAATAAATAGATGTAATACGATTACTTCTCTACTCCATTGACAACCGCCAATACACTTTTGTGTGTAACGTCCGGTAGACCACTTTTAAATTCATTTGTAATACGATTAGCTAATTCTGAGGTCATTGTTAATGGACAATAACAATCTTAATATTAGTACCAGTACAATAGAAAAAACCAAATGAAAGAACACAATTCGGTTTTTTCAACGAAACGTACTTGAAGAATCGTTTTACGCTTCGTTTATATTTATTAGATAGACCAATTCGGTTTTCGTTATTAACCTTTCTTTTGAAGGATGTAAGAATACGATGTCGCACAATGTCGGCAGATTTTACTTAGCTTTTATTGTTCTGTTGTAACGGTTTTTACGTTTTGAAGCATTAAATATGCCATCTTCTTCTGTTATTTATGTAAGACAAAGCTGACAGCTGTCAGCTCCTTTGACATTATTCTTTGATTTCATCAGCACAACATAAAGATAACTGGCCTCATAATCGTGTTTTGTCTTTTTGATTAAAAAATTGATATTTAGTAAATGCCAATTTAAACGTATTATAGAAAATTTTTCTTGAATGCGTATCGTATAGAAAAAGAAAGATTTACTAGACAGAAGATTCAGTATAGAGAAACGATTTATATGACTTTTCAATCTCGTAAGAAACCTTAGTGAATATAAAATCATTGAATTAATTCTATTACATTCTCAAGGTCGTTTAAGCGCATGTCAGTTAGTAGTTATAATACATCGAAGAGCTACATTTAGAACTTCAAAAATCAGGTTTACACGTAGATCATTTATAATTTTCGGAACAATAGTCTCCTTGAATGGATACGTTATATCAATGCTTTCTTTTTGTCTAAAATTTATGACGGAATTGTTGTTCACAAATGAATATAAATATTAGTAGTTTGTTCAATTTACAAGTCTCATCTCTATAGACATCGAAGGCTTCATTTAAATGACTTCATGACACAAATGAATTAGAAAATAATTCAAAATTTATATGTACTAACAGAGAAAACCTATTCGAATTCTCCATCTATAAATTATACTATATGTATACTTATACAGGGTATCGTGAGCTGCTATTGAACCTACTGCGATCAATTATCATTGACTATAGTGTATCCTAAATTAGAATATTATAACAAGTTCGATTTGTGTCTCCTACCGGTTTACAAGACTCTATAACTGTACACAAGGTTTAACAGAAGCCTATGAAAGTCTATTAGGCTCTATTAGGGTGTGAGTATGTAAGTGTAAGTAACATGAATGTTCACACACAACAGTTGAAGAATAAGATACACCTATAGCAGCTTCTACCTAACACATTTTACGATAGTTTTAATGAAAAAGTTCGTATGGCTTTTAAAAAATTAATCACTAATTTTCTATTCACAGCTCAAGACATCTCGCGTCATTATCATGCGTACAATATTTCCGTTAAAATCAAAGATCCACATGTATAATGATCCGAATCAAGAATTTTCAAAGATTATCTCCGGTCGTTTCGTTTAACAGGCAACAATAAGACAGAAGAAAGTTATTGAATACCTAAAACATTTCGTCAAAGAATATTACAAACGAAAGATCACTGTAACCATAACGTGTTTAAAAACGTTTCCAGTATGGGTGCCTCCTATGCATGGTCTACACAGAACACCGATTTCTGGTTATACAGAAATGGAATGTATGAACGCAAAAATTGACTTTTACGATGAACTGACCTGATTATCTCAGAATAATTCAAATTAATTTGCTATTCTCAACTCTTGCTTTTCAGCAAACGATTTTAGCCAAATAAATAATGTGCTAAGAGTGTGTTAAACACTTGATATTAGATAGATTCAAAGTATAGCAAGACGTTTCGATCTTGCTTAATGATCTCATCGGGTATCTTCAGAATCTCAAAACTACATTATTATGTAAATGCATTAGATTTCTGTATTTATATTGTATGAAGCAACCCGATCTCGATTGATTCATTCATTCGAACGAGTAAAAGAAGGCCAAGATATTTTCATACACTCTACTTTAAGTCATAGGACATTAGTAATAATATATTTACTAGCATAACATACATCTAAATTGTATATATGTATATGTATATTTTGGTATCTAGTAAGCTTGCAGATTAATATTCTGCAATCCATTCACATAGATTTACGAACAACTTATGTTCAATGTTGAATGACTCATTTCGAGTTGCCTCATATCAATGAAATATATAAGAATATTGATCATTTGCGCTGACGAACTACGCCATGGTCTCAGCGACAGGAGTGAGATACTTCACTATGGATGAGTCTAGTGAATCTTGATGAGAATTTCTATATAACCCTAGTATAGATAGACTCTGCCTATTTTCTAAGATCAAAATTGCCAATGTATTTGTTCAGTTCTTCGATGTAAATCAGTAACTCATTTTCTTTTCCATTACTTCCATATGTTGTAGATGTGAGTGTGTCTATGTAAGTATAGGTAACACGAATGCCCACGCCCAGGCCCTACGCCGCCTGAGTAAAGAAATTTTCATTTGACTAAAAGTTTCAAGTCAAGAATAGTGAAGAAACAATTTGCTTTACAAAACAAACCTCAATTTAAATAATAATTATTGTATACGACTCATTTGACTACAAGAGATTGCTTTGTGAAAATAAAATTACTTAGTCACAGTGCTGATCCATAATTACAGACCTATAGTTTACTTTTCACTAGAAAATATTATTACATTGAAAATAACTTGATAGTATTTATTCGTTTATCTTTACGACGATCGAAGCAGATGTCTATGCAATGTATTACACAAAAGAAATACGATAAATCTATTGTATTTAAGATTGATCGAATGAAATGATTAGTCATATCCATGAAAATAGATACAAACTTATAATAGCAACAAAGTCATGTGTCAGCGAATATCTGATGTTCATGCAAATTTTACAAGTGAGTCATACTGACTCATAGCCAACTCGAATGTACAACAACGCACTGTTGATATTGTTCGCTAATTGAGTAATTACATGTACTATAAATGCTGGGAATAGTATAGTCGATAACCATTTTATACTTCTCATTATAAAGCTCTGCAACGCATGTCAACTGAATTCAATAATCAACCGCTGATCGATCTTCAGAAATTATTTCTCGATGATCCAATTGAAATTTTACGATTACAACAAGCATTTGAAACAAATGGTTGGTGTTTTGTACGCTTGTCTCAAAATGGTGATGCTTTCGTCGCACAATTGAATCATATTATTAAATCTTGTTTGGATTTTTTTACACTTAATCCAAAAGAAAAATCCCATTATCTATCAACAAACTCATTTGGCTATACACGTGTCGATCATAAAGAAGGCATCAAGCTATTAAGTGATCAACAAGGTGTGGCTGATTTCCCTTCTGTTTTACCGATGAATATCAAAGCAACTTTACAACATGTCAGTCAAATAATCGGCAATTTAACTTATCGTATAAAACCAATAATTATGAAATTAGCTGTATCAGAGGATATACCAATAAAACAAGTCGAACTATCTGCGGTTGCAATGCTCGATATTGTTCATTATTTTAATAAAAATGTTGGTCCAACACAAGTGCCTGCAATTGGCTACAGTACGGATGAAGTTAATTGTGTACCACATTATGATCCTGGTCTTTTCTCATTGAGTATACTATCAACATGCGATGGTCTTCAATTGCAAGATCGCCATGAAAATAAATGGATTGATGGACCAGACAATTCTCAAGTTGGTCAATCGAATATTGGTGTTATTTGGCTTGGTGAAGCTGCAAGTATTCTTACTAGCAATCGTTTTAAATCTGGTATTCATCGTGTTATTTATCCACGTACAGTTCATCAACCACGATTAACCATTTGGCAAGAAATATGTACTGAAGGTCAAATTCAACAATTATTTGACGAAAATAATAACATTCAAATTTTACCAGCCGACGCCGAAGTATTACTGGCAAATCAACCAAATTCTATACCAATGACTGTACTTCCAGGTGGAGAAACTCCGCATAATTTTATGCATCGTGTTGAATCTATACGTGGTCTTTCAATGAGTAAATCTCTCCGATCAGATATGACGTTTCATAACAATTACAATGGTCGAGGAAATAGAGGGCCTTCTCCTTCGAACGAAAAAAATTCTTTTACAAAAGTGAAAAAGAAATAGAATCTTGTAAATACTACACAAACAAAAGTAGTAAACTAAAATACGCTGTAATTTTCTTTTATATTCAAATAAATGCGTAGATAACTTACTGTTATTATCTTTTAACATCTTGTCGTTTTTCTGTGGTGAGATACGCATGTTGCTAATACTATTTATCACTTGATTTCGGTGTTTTGGGTTCACTTTAATAATTGTTACCATAAAATCATCATAGGCATTATTTAGTAGCAACTGGCTCATAGATTTAGAATTTGACATGCTTTGATAAACAACAATTTGAACCAGACTGCGATTCTTCTGTAAACCATGTTTTTGATAAAACTCATTTGCTATGTGTGTTACAAAGATAAAGAATGATTTTCCGTAGGCACATCAGGTTGCTGTTATAATCGATCAATATTTCGAGCTACAAATATTTTTCTCCAATCTAACAATAATTTCACTTTAACAAAATACGAATAAAACAAATGTTGAAGTGTAAAGGTTAACATTTAGACCCTCTCTTGTCGATACACTATATAAATATATATCGTCTTACTTTAACATCAGTAATCCAGTATGCAAGCAATATTTTTAAAAGACCTTTCTGTTAACATGTTTTCCAGCGATCATTGCAAAACAAGACAATGATGAAAATTGAAACGAATGTTGTTTTAGAATTAAATTTGTTTTTCTATGAGCAAGTTAGTTTTAGTTATCCAGAAAAAGAATATGTGTAGAATATGAAAAAGACAATAAAAACAACAAAAATAATCAATCGATGATAATAATGATGTTAGTAGACAAACGTACAAAGCAGTAGAATAGATTGATATATATATGTGCACAAATGAATATTGTCTGAATATTCTTGTCCTAAATGATAACACCGGAATTACGTAGGGCAAAAGAAGAAGCAGTACGATTAAAGATTTAATACATATAATTATATATAGCAATACAGAACAAGAGGCATGTCCATTGGATTAAACAATATAAATTTGGGGATAAAACTAGCGCTGAACTTCTTTTTCTCTTCGCAAAAAGTTTATCATTTATTTTTTACCACCCTGTTGAGGTTTTGCGACACCAAAACCTAGAAAAAAAGGAAAAATTATTTTGCAAGCATTTACTTCATAATTACCTTGTTGTGGGTATTGCTGACTTCCAGCCATTGGATATGCTGGTGCCGCTAGAGGAAATAAAATACATTACGATCACACATAAATTTATACACGTTTAACTTACTCATATTCAAAAATGGATTATATGGATTATAGCCTGGTGGCATTGGAAAAAATGGTTGCATATATGGATTTGGATATGGTACTGCAGAACCGTCTAGAAAAAAGAAGAACTATTATAACAAATAATTTTATTTCAATTATTTTTGTACCGGGTGTTGTTGTTGGTGGTGGACCACCAGTTGGTGGAGCTGATGGTTGTTGTGATGGTGGGTGTGCTGCAGCAACATTTGATGCATATGGATTGCCAGCTAACGAAGTCAATTTATAATTATTTTATATTTTAAACAAATAACTACTCGTACCATTTTGTTGCGTTGTTGCTGGCGCTGGATTTCCACCAACAATATTTCGTTGAATATCTTGCATTAAATCATCTTTTTCTGTTTTACGAGCAAATACAAAATCTGACACTTTATTTTGAAATTTAAGTAACAATGGTGTCAAATCATTGTAAAACTAAAAACAAGGAAATAAATAAAATACTTTTACAAGAAATCATATCAAAGCTTACTTTAGTTCCTTCTTTCAAATTGTTTAATAATTCTTGATAGGCATCATATGCTCGCGCTAAATTCTTTAGCATTTCGTCACGCATTGCCGATGTTTCATTTCCTTGTTTTTCATTTTGGAATTGTTGATGTGCACGATGAACATTTTCAACTAGGTGTTCTTGTTTTGATAAGCTCTCACTAACTTGTTGTCGTAATGGAGTATAAATGGATTCAATTTCATGAACAACAACACTATTCTCATCGTGATGATTGCCTTGTTGAAATCCACCAATTAAACGTGCACGAACGCTATCAGAATCCGTACCTTTCAATTCAGATTCAATAACTTCGCGTTCAGCTTTTACTGCAGCTACGTTTTCCATTAAACGACGCAATTCACGTACAACAAACGAATCACGTAATGCACCAGCAGCTGTTGCCGACGGGAGCTCATCGGCTATTTCGTTCTAAAATAAATAAATAAATTGAAATATTTATTCTGAGAAAATCATTTCGAAATTTTCTGTTTCTCAAACATGAAGAGTTTTATAATGAAACCATAAAAGTTAAATCCGAAAACATCTGATATACACTGAATGTTTTGATGTGGAGCAACTTATTGACATTTATTATCCGAGTTGTCAAGTGTTTGAATAACTGATGAAGTTCTCTATAGACAGGTGTATAGAATAGAGCAGCTACGAAACATTTTTTTTTGTTTTTTGAAAAAATCAAAGATGATAGGAAAAGTAACTTTCGAGAGTAGGATCTTAAAAAGTAAAAGATTCTAAATAGCTTTAAGATGTTTTCGCATTTCGTACACTCTATTCGTAAAGAATAATACATGTTGTTGAAAATGTATACTTTCTCATGCTTATAAATTATTAAGAGTAACTTCTATTGCATCCAGCAATATCTAATTCATTCATGTTATACTTGATATTCGTGAAATAAAAGCTAAGTTACATTGATCTTATATCTTTTTGCACCAACAGTGTCTATCATGACCAAATATTATTCATTTTTTCTTTTAATTCCATAAGAAATAATGACTAAATATGGACATTTTATATTGACTGAATTTCAGTCACTGAAATGTGGTTGTAGAAAAGTATGAGTAGTCTCTTATTTTACATTTTAAAAATTATTACCGTTTGTTTACTGAGTAAAACAATACAATCGCGATTCATTCGAAATTTTTCTTGAACGATTTTATCTGCATTAATAGCATTTTGTATAATATCCATATATTTTTTAGCTTCTTCGCGTAGTGGACCTGTTAATTTTGATGATACCGTACGTGTCCAGCGTTCTTTGAATTGAGTACGTAAATCTGAGTCACCTCTCTCTTCATCATCTAGCATACGAATTGTCTAATAAAAGTCAAATTAAAATTGATGCAAGAAAAATAAACAAGAATAAATTACTTCATCAAGAATTTCTTTATTTCGTTTTAATGATTCTGGTAAATCACTAATCATTTTATCTAATGCATGAATACCACCTTGTCGTTTAACTTCATTGGCTTTTTCCATGACTGATGCTGGAACTTGACGGCCGCCATTATCTTCAATAGCAGCTGGTAAATTCATTGAAGCCAACACACTATTTGAAAACAAAAATACATGATGTCAAAGAATCATTTAAACCGTAGAATTCTATTCAATATAGAAGCTTACGAGTTGAGAACATTATTTGCTTCTCTAAGACGATTTATTTCTATATTCATGATTTCTGCTCGTTTGGAATTAAATGCTGCTAAGGCATTATTCAAAGCGATTGGTACAAGTGAAGCAAATAAATCTAAAGAAATAATTCATTCAATAAAAACAGACAATTGAAATGCGCAATTACCTTTAAATTCAGGTGTTATTGGAAATGAAACTGGCAACGGTTTAGCAATTGGTTGAGCCAAAATAGTATCAAGTGTTTTCGGATCCGGCAATCGTTCATGATAAACGAAATCATTATCTTTATGCGCAGCTGCTGATGCTTTAGCAATTTCGTCTTGATTTGCACGAAGTGTTGGCGTAAAAGTAGACGTTGCACATTTACTAACTGCTTGATCGGCAAAATCTTTTGCACGCTGATATAAATAGAAAACATTCAACTGATTATCAGTACTGATAAAATCAGGAAAATTACTCTCTGAACGATTTCCTCGTCTATATAAGCTTTTATGAGGTACGTTAGTGTTGGAGAAAGAAATCTTTTATTGAACAATCATTTGAATGTCTCGATATATTCACCCATCTTTCCATGGCTACTAATGAATGAATTCTGTTTCATAGAAAATCCAGCATTTTTAAAAAGAAATTTTGATAGTCCTCCACTAACTTTACTATTTACCTATCAAAACTATTAGTTGTACTGTTAGTATCGTTTCTTCTGAAAGCTCATGTAGTCCAAATATTTGTCTTTTTTGTTTTTATTTGATGTCACGTTTAATAGTTTTTTTTTAATTATCTGATTCCCTGATATAATTGCTTCTATTCTGAGAAATCATGCCGCTAACAAAAACATTTATTCGTATGCCGATTGGACTTACATCATATCGTACAACTTTGAGTCCATATTTTCGATCAGCTTGAGCTTGATTACCAGCATGATATTCAGCTTTTGATTGAAATAATAAATGCTTGACAAACATAATATTGACATAATTCTAAAATAGAAGTGGAAAATAGTAGCAGATGTGCGTCTTTTTCTAGTTCACGTATGTAGAGAAATAATATCTGTTTCTCTTGTTAGTGCGTCATTGCAACGTTAGGCTTCTCATTGAAATTAATAAAATTAGAGCTTATTAGTATTCGCTTTTTACAATTATACAACGCTTGTTTTAGAAATTTTTATGTTTGTTTAACAGCTCCATTGAAAAAAATGTGAATTGTGGTTTAATAACAATGTAGTCTTGATTATATCACAGGTAATGCATCTCCACATGTAGATAAATGAAGTCAATAAAAGTAAATTCTAGACTTGCGTTTTTTCCAGATACATTCGATCGTTAGTTTTTATCTACTAATGAAAGTATAATTAATTTTGTCATGACTACTTGATGTATTATTATTTTATCACGGCTAGTACCATCATCAATCTGGAATGGATGTACAGTTAGCACTGAAAAACGATCATAATTAATAGTTCTAGCCCATTCCGTTTTTTTCTTCTAAAGCTCATGATATATTGTGATTTCAAAGACTTCTATCAATGATAGTTTTCTAAAACAATCGGTCTACTCTAATTATTAAATATTCTATTCAACTAGTAACTAGTTCATCTGCAATGATGACAACAAATATTACAAATTCTTTATGATATGTAAAACGAGCAGGAACTGACTAAAAATTAATTTTGAATTTATCAACGAATATGAGCTCTTGAAGTACGTTGACTACGTAAATATTGACTCTAGATGATTACCGATCATATCCTTGAATCTATAATAGAGCAATGGACTTTTTATGATGTTCTCCCTCGATTCTAATTTACATGTGAGATAGTTAAATGCTTTTCGAAACATCAATTTTCTGAAACTAAGCTGTTTACAAGTCTGCAAATAAGATTCATTTTAAGTTACATTGCACGAACAATCTTTTCTAGCTGATAAATGAAATCAGTAGGAGTTATTTTAATTACTATACTCCCTGTCAATTATTCTATTTTAGCAAAGTTAAAAAAACAAACTTCTCTTATAGATGGCATCGTATTTCAAAACGTTGTCCCATTATTACAAAACAAAATTCAATTTACTTACCTCAGGAATGACCTTTTTTGCACTCTCCGTTTTTGATGATGTATAAGCTTCCTTGTAGCAATCAGCGGCATGTGCTGCGACCTTAGCAGCAACTTCATCTTAATGGGGAAAAAACATTATTTCTTTTCACATGCGTTTGTCTGTCTTTTAGTTTACCTTTAAAACTAGCTGATTTTATGTAAATCAATTCTGCTGCTTGACCTAACATAAACCATGAAATACATGCTAATACAGCTGGTTCGAAATCAACCGATAAATCTGATAATGAATTTGCGTTAACATAATCTTTTAAAAACGAAAAAACACCCGATGATAATTGAAAGTATCTTGTAGCTGCTTTCATTTGTTCATCTATTGATAGATTTTGTGCTAATGCTAAATCACTATATGCATGTCCAATATTAAAAAGAACGCAAGCTTTCTCATATGCTAATTTCCATGAACCATTTGATTTTTGTTTACTACCGAATAAACTTCCACCACTAACAAATGCATCTTGCCATTTGAAATAAATTCGTATTTGATTTTCTGTTATTGGTAATTTATATTCAATAGCATGTAATTGATCATAGTATCTAAATAAATAAAGTTCGTTTTTCTCTTTGATAAATTATAAGTTCTGTTATCCTAACCTGAGTATTTTTGAACAATCATCTTTATAACTGCCACGAAGTAATGCTTCAGCACGAAGTGCATTGAAACCATCGGCTGCTGCTGAGTAATCTTCTTTGTCACCAAATGTTTCTTTAATGAATTTTTTTACCGGCGCTGAAAGATTGACATCGAAAGGTTTCTTAGCTGGTACGGCTAGAAAACCAGTTGTACTAGACGCCATATTGAAAGTTTTCTTTTTTAAATTCAGTTAAATAGAAATATTTCTATTCAATTTTGTATATACCAACCGAAGAACGTAAGAGAAAGTGGAAGTATGATATTTCTATAAATACGATGATGTATAAAACAAGCAAACATGAGTCATTAAATATTCTTAACCAATAAAAATCTTCAAAATATACATAGATGGCTTGTTGTCAGAAGTATTAATAAAGAAAATATAAATGAGAGAAATGTGAAATAAACAAATAATAATTATTATTCTTTGTTAAAAATGAGGATAAGTGATTAATCATAGTTTATTTGGTGACTCATTCAGTGTTTGTCAAATATCAGGCATAGACTATTTAGTTTTTATCGCCAGCACACATGGCTGGTTCACAATCAGCTTTAATAAAAAACTTATGTCTTTGCTATTGTGATAATAAACCAGGTATGATGAAAAATTTAAAAGGTAGAATTGAACTAATCAACTTTCTTTTCCATATCGACAGAAATTTTGGAAAAAACTGTTAATACAGTTTCGCATTTACTTCATGCGTAAGTTAAAATTTGTATTATATTCGTGATTTATTGTTAATGTTTTCAATAATTTGTAGTGAACATGGAAATACTTACCAGGATGACATACGATTACTTGATAAAATTTGGAAACATTGTATGAATTAGTTTAGAAAAAAAGTTCAGATTTGTTTATTGTTCGGACATCTTTTAGTTCAAAAATATGGACGAAATCAAGAAATGCTTCGTTTTGGTCAAATCTATGCTCGGATCAATAAGCTAGTGAGTTCTTTGCCTAGAATAGTAACGAAGAGATTGATTGAAAAATATGAATTTACTGTTAAGAAAATCTATGATATATAAAACTGTACTACTGTAAAGTGTCGTTCAATATTGCTAAAATATATGAATACTTGAATTTCATAGAGCATAGGTCATTTAGAGAAAAGTAATTCTTAAAATAAATATATCTAACGGAACAAAGAAGTATGGATTGACAAAAAGTGATAAAGCGAGATTCTGGCTGCATATCGTTTGAGACTTACGACATCAAATAACAGTAAAAGAGGCTTTTTATTCTATAAATCAATGATAGACAGTTTATTAGAATATGAAAAGCACGTTCTATTATGCAGTCTTCGTATAATGATTAAAAAGTTAATTTGATTACGAGATTGTTAGACTTGAGTGAGTTCACAATCGAAGAACTGAACGAACATCAATCATCGAGTTATTTTTCTTGTATGCCTGAGAAACTTAATAAAAGGTTGCATCAAAGAATTATGATTTACTGCTGCTCGTAAAGATTCATTGCAAGAAAAAGAAAATTGCTGTACGAGATGGTCCAGAAATTCTGAAAGAATTCTGAAGATCATGGTTCTCTCATTTAACAAATAGTTGCACCTGTTTATTATTACTTTTACAATAGAGGTGCTCGAAATAAATGACACTTCTTTATGGTCGTTTTTGTTAAATATGAACTATATTCTGCTTAATACCATTTGTCAAGATTCCATGTGAAGGATATCATGTTATTTTTACTAAGTGCATTCAATTGACGAGTTGCGTTGCAAAACTAGAAAGCATGTGTCGATATCAAAAGATAAAATTAAGATCATCAAAATGCATGAATGTTGGACAATTGCAACAGCATAGAATAAAATCAGTTTATTCTTTTGTAAACAAATGATATTCAGTTTGATGAGACACACAGCTTACTAGAGTGTTGTTAAACAAGAGAACAATTCAATCATTGAAGATTCTTTTTTTTTGAATTACACGAACATCTCTCAACATACGTAGTAATACCTAATAATTTAACGAATTGAAAATGATTGAGAAAAGTTTCTTTATTAAATAATGGTCAATCTATTGAATTTCTCAAGAAACTCAATTTCGTTTAGAAAGTCCTTAAAGTGCGGCTTGAAACACTTCAATTTCTTTATGCATTGGCCGATACAGCATCAACTGAACATCATCATGATTCAATAAGTCGTCCAATGCCAACATCATCAGCTAGTAGTTTTGACATTCCATCATTTTCTCTTCTTTCTGTTCAACAAGGATCTTCCAGCATGAAAGAAAATGGTCTTTCGCATAATTCATCTCATATAAAATCTTCAACGTCATTACAAAAACTTCTTCATTATAACAATGACGATGAAACTTCATCATCATCGAAAAGTCATCTTCATTCAACAATGAATAAAATTAATGAAATAGATAACAGCACATCCTTACAACGAGATGCAGATGAATCACGCCTATTGCGTGAACTTTTATTTGGTATGCAAGGTATTGAGACACCACGTTTATTAGCAAATGATAGTAATATTGACCGTTGTACACGTACATTAATAACGCGTTTTTTGGAATGTGGATGGTTATATGAAAAGATTAGAAAAATAATCAACACGCCAACATCAAGTCTTGTTGCGCAAGCATTTATTGCCAATCTATCAAGTGAATTACGAGAATATCATCGACTTATATCTGTTATTGAACAACAAGTAACAAAGAATTTGTTCTTCTAATTTTATTTGACTTTCGTCCGTGTATTAGGAGAATATGCCTGGCATGGTTTCATTAAAAAAGCTTCATGTTTGGATGTGTACACCAATACAACGTTTAAAATGTCTTGCAGCCATTGCTGATTCATGTCATGGTTTGTTCAAAGAAAAATTTCTATTACGAAAAATAATTCTATATTCAACTATTTTCTAGGTAAAAAAGGTGGGCAATTGCTATCTATACTTTATATGCATAGTCAACATGGCGATCCATTGCAACAATCGATACTTTATCCACTGCTTTACAATTGTACGATACCAATACGTGACATGATCGTTGAATGGATCTGCAACGGTATTATCAATGATCCTTATCAAGAATTTTTTGTTTCAACTGATAAAATGATAGGCGAAGAAAAATTATGGTATGATAAATATACATTACGAGTACCGATGGTACCGACATTTCTATCAATGGAACAAGCTAAAAAAATTTGGATTACAGGAAAATCAATTAATTTTTTACGTGTAGTTTGTAAAGATCGAACGATGTTACAAATTAATAAAACGCCAGCTTCATGTAAGTTAAAATAATTATGTTGTTTTCGATAGACAGTTAAGATCAATTCTAAAAGATAGTTAATGATAAAGAAAACAAATAGAAATATGTATATTACTATGATTTTCGTTTCAAATTATGTATGCGATAAAAGATCATTTTGAATCCATAATCCTAGGAAATGTGAGCTGCTGAGATATATCTGGAAGACTCAAAAAAAAAACAACCTGTTTGTGTGTCTTTATTCCTTGGCATAATTTTAATATTCAGGTAATTATTAATATTTTAGTTTAATAGGGCTGAAAAGGTTTATTTTTTTTTGCTTGCTTTGGGATAGGCCCTATAGATTATACTATCTCGCACACCAGATTTTTGTAGTCACAATCTAGCTTACCAGTCTCATCGTGGAAGGCAATCTATAAATTGAGTAAAATCTAAAGCACAGCGATCATGACACAACATATTCACTCGTCGATTGGCTATTTACAGAAAATCAGTTTGAACCGAACTTTGATGGCTTGTCCAAATATGTATTTGGAGTTTTGTTTTTAAAAAAGTTTGAGCGGCTATGATCAGATAGTTTCAAAAAGTGCAAACTAGAACTTATAAAAACGACTGTCTTTTTAAATGACTCTTATAAGATTTTATTTATTATATAATCTCTCTTTTTGTATACAGAATTCAGTGCTCTTAGAAGTCGGCGATGGACAAAGCTGAAATATCGTTTTTTTTTAAATACAATAAATTTTTTGACAAAAAGGACCCATAACTGTTCAATTTTACCGTATTCTTGCTCGTATCCGTCGTCTTTTAGTAGCCACAAAATGAGCGAATATTCATTGGTGAACCTTTCATGCTACAGATTACCTTGCACAGCTTATTAAAATTAACGTTGATAAATATTTCTTTTAGCTCAAAGTCTATTTCAACAGCAACGTTCAACAGAATTTCAAGATATGATTATATCTATTTACAATGAAACAACACGTTATCTTCGCTCAATATTGGATGATAAATATCAAATGATGGATCATTTTAAAGCTATAAAGCGTTATTTATTATTAGGTCAAGGTGATTTTATAAAATACTTGATGGATTTAATGGAAAATGAATTAAATAAACCAGCCAATCAAGTATTTTATCATAATTTACAATCATTAATGGATGCAGCTATACGTGTAACAAATGCACAGTACGAGAGTGAAGATATTATAAGACGTCTTGATTTACGTTTAATGTATGTGTCACCATCGGAACTCGGTTGGGATGTTTGCTGTTTAGATTATAAATTTGATGGTCCATTGCGTACAATATTTACCGAGGAAAACTCTTTACGCTATATGAGAATATTCAATCATTTATGGCGTGTTAAACGGATGGAATATACAACCTGCGGTGTATGGAAACAACTGATGAAATCATCACGAGAATTCGCAGCAATTCCAGGTAAAAACTAATCGTTAACAATAGCATAGCTACAAGATTGTGTTCATTTAATTTTTTTATTTTAAGAAATATCTGATATGGTACATACATGTTTTACAATGTCAAATGAAATGACCAAGTTTGTTCAAAGTGTTAATTATTATATCATGTTTGAAGTACTTGAATGTTCATGGAGTGATTTATTAAATAAATTAATGGACGCTAAAGACTTAGAACAAATTCTTGAAGCACATGATGATTCATTATTGAAAATTTTAACACGTCTTCATCTCGATGGCCATGAAACGAGTCAAGAATTAGCAAAACAACTACGTTGTATATTTGATTTGATATTAAATTTTGGTTCAATTATTCAGCGTTTAATACAATGTGTTGACAATGAAATACAAGCAAGAAAACCATATCAGCAACAGCAACATCATGGAACTTATACGAAAAATGTCGAACCTGTAAGAAGATAATTTCTTATAAAGATGTTTTATTTTCTGGAGCAAAAATTCTGTTTTCTTTTCCGAAGAAAAATAGCCTGAGATTTATGCATCAACCAATAATATTTTCTGGTTTTTTTTCAAAAAAAAATGAATTTTCTATTAGAATAACATTATGATGATGTTCACATTGATATGTATTCGTTTGATTAGCTGAAATTACTATCAAACAAAATATGTGTATACATTTTTCTAAATGCTGTGAGGTATTGAATAATCGGGACAGAGAGAAATGCTTTTTATTTCCTCTAACAAGCTGATACTTTAGAATAAAATCGTATGAAAGTTCTCAGGAATATCAAATGTTAGCAGTACGGTATCAACATGATTGATAAGAAACAATCATCTATTTTTCTATCTGAAAATAATGGTTCCCTTTGTGGATTTTTATAGAGCATTCCAAAGTCTATCTCTACATAGGAATGATGGGAATGCCTCTATGAATATCATTAATCATATAGTTTGGGATTTTTATACAGATAAAAACACAGAATCATGGTGTCACTTAGAATCGAAACTAGAAAACATATGGTAGTTAAATTTTAAATTAGAAAATAATCGATCTAAGTATCGGGATGTTTCTTGAGAGCAAGACTAGCACACGTTGAGACATACCAGTCTGATAACTAAATGTCGAAAATCGATATCGCTGTTAGTCACGTATTTCACCATTGCGCTTCCTATTGACATGTATACATACGTGCCATATAACATTTTATTGATAAAACATTAGAACAATAAATACTTTCAAGCCAAAATTTATTTTGACTTTTTGACATTTAACAACTTAATATCTACTAAAATATTATTTACCAGTTGAATCTGTTGTGATGAGCCACGAAAGGATTGTTGTACACGATACAAAAATAAATAGTACAGGTCGCTTCATTTTGTAAATAATTATTCTTGAAAAATAACAACAATCTGCTGGAGATTTTTCATTGAAAAAGTTTTTTGAAAGTATGACAAGACTCACGAATGCATGTGAGCGTTCGAAGTTATAACCTTAAATGAATTGCACTAGCAATTGTATTATAATGTTTCGATTTTTGTTTATAGGATGCAGAAATTCGACGATTTCATACAATTTTAAAACCACAATTGAAAACAATTAAAAGTGATTTACATATTGTTAAAAAAGCATTTCGAGTATGAAGAAAAAGCGAATTTCGCTTGAGCAATTAATTAAATATATTTTTAATTTAGGATGCTGTGCTTAAATTTCTTCAACAACTGAAATTCCATCCTGATATAACATTACGTTCTTTAAGTTTTCGATTAAACTTTAATGAATTCTACAAAGTATCTTATACATCAAAATCAACTGCATAAAACTTTTCTATTAGATTTCGCTTTTTGATAATCTCAAAATGTTTTCTTTTTTCTTCTGTTTTTTTTTTATACATACAAACATTTGCGCTACTTTGTAGACAGGAATGATTTCTTATTTTGTTCGGGATTATGCTATTAAAATAGATTTTTTCTTCCAGAACCAAAATACATTTACTTATGTCTAAATCTATTGAACCTGCAATTACACTCGATTGGTCAATATTTCTTTTCATTGGTTTTCTAATGGTTGGTGCTATTTTAATTATGTTTAAATTAACTGTCGGATCCTGCTATAAGCCGCCGTCTGTGTTACATCGACGTCAAGATAGAAAACTGAATTGATACAAGAATGCAATTTCTATAAAAGTAAAGACAATATTTTATTCATGAGATCAAGGTCTTTGCACTATGTTCTTTTTCTATCTCGCGTATTTCGTTGTTCATTTTGTTCCATAGGTCGCATAATTAAATATGCACATATAAAATTAATAACTTTTGTAACTAGAGAATAAAAAATAATTAGAAAAAAACGAAAAAGAACCAGAAAAAAAAGAACCATGGAAATGAAAAGTATGTATATAGAAGCGCGAATAGACACAGTAAAAAAATAATAAACTAAAGAATAATATCTGGCTGATAACTTAATGAACTAGTAACTGTTGTCCATTCACTTGAACCACTTGTACTTGAATATGGTGTTAATTCTACTAAATTAGTTGTTGCTGAATCAGACGATGATGACTGTGTGGATAGTTTACTTTTGGATCCATTTTTATGTTTTCGATCGAGTTTAGAAGGTTGCATTTGTTCCGGTGTAAGTAGTTTTGATGATGATGTACTTGCTCTTGATGTTTTTTTTTCTATTATTGGCTGTTTTTTCTTTGATATAATACAATAAATCATAAACGATACACTACCAATAATTAAACCAATAATAATTCCAAGTAGAAGCATCCAAAGACTATTTAAACTTATTTGTTGAGACTCATGAAGTGTAATCGTTGTTTTATCGACAAATAAGTGTTGATAATCTTTAGTTCTATTTTCTATGAGAACAGATAATGGTGCTGGTGAAATATTTGATTGATTTACGTGTAGTTCATAATCATCTTCTTCGTCAAGTATAGGTGGACGTAGATTTTGTACTTTAATAACACTTAAACGAAGTGGTAATATTGTTCGCTGAGGAGATGGAAATACAAGCGATAGATTTAAACATGGATTCGAATTTTTTGCTGTACATATATGTAGAACAGGTCGAAGAACATCGGTATATAAAATTGTATTATTATATGTTACAATATCATCATAGCCTAATGTTGAACGCGGTCCATTTTTTTCAGTTAAAACAAAACGTCGATCGAAATTGGTTTGTTCATTAAGATGTACACCAAGAACTTTTTCTTCTAAACTTAAATACATAATTTTACTTGAGAAATCAATGGTTGCTGTACATGGGTATGGACGATTATCATATGATGTTGGAATTTTAAATAAAAATAGACATTCATTAACAGATAATGAACACCGTATAACTATACACCAACCATATGAATCACCTATAATATAACCTTCGGATGTTAATTGATCGATAATTAAACCACTTATACGTAAATTTGGACTTAATTCACGTAAACGTTTCATAAATGGTGCTGAACCACGTGTACGCGGTCGTTCGAGTAAATCAATCATTTGTATATCGGAATGACCATAAACATAAAGCATCGACGATACACGATGAATGCTAACAAACAATGGCATTTCGCTGCGTATTGAATTCATTAATGAATGATTAGAAAAATTTGCTATCCACCAACCATCAGAATATTGTAAACGATATACAGTACGTTCATGTGGTGCTGTTAAATAAATATGACCAAAATCATCGCCTGTTACATCATGAAAACGTGGCACATCTTCTTGTGACAATAGAAGATGAAAGGAGTCATCGCCACCCAATAAAATTGGCCACCAAACATAAATACCTGAGAGAGAAGTTATTACTACAATATTTGCTGTTGTTTGCTTTGTCGGCAAATCTTCGTTATCATGTTTTTCTAACTGATCATTGTCATGATCATCGTCTCGTCCATGAGGAGGTCTGAAATGGTTATGAGCTGATGCTGTAATATTTCGTATTTTATCAGCATATGCCGATGCTCGTTGGTAAGTATGCAATGAAGTATCATTCTTTTTCGTTAAAAGTTTATCTTTTATGGATGGTGATGATGATAAAAGTGTTAAAGCACATGTCAAGTTAATGACAAGAACAATAATAACACTAATAATATTTGAGAAATGATAATGGCTCATCGAAAAGATGAACTATATCAACTAGACTAATACTGATCATCAACTAGAAATAAATAAATAGAAAAGAATGAAAGTGAAATAAAAACAAAAACAAACACATTCATATTCTGCAATATTTGTTAAGCATCTAATTGAGAAAGATAATTCTCGCATTTCAAGTCGAGACAGACTAAGCCGACATGCATAACACGATATGATCCTATTTATATCAAGTGAGATTATGTAAATCATATTATTCATACACGCATATCTTTATGTACGCATAAGTATCCATCATCGTTCTTTGATTTACAATAGCATAGCCTTTTGTATTTAGCCTAGTTTGTCGTCTCCTTTTTCTCTGCTAAAACTAATATTTGAAATAATTGTTTACGACAATCCACAGATAAACACATTTACATTCTCATTAACATTACAAAGACAGTAGTGATGTGTTAAACAACAAGGTATCTATCTTATTCATATACACAAATAATAAATGAGCATATTTTCATGACTGTATATAAATTGTGAAAAGTAAGAAGAGAAGAAACTCTACAAGAACAGAGAATAAACCTATAAAATACCTTATTATAATATATCGAGACTGTAACTTATTGCTCGTAATATTCGAAGGAACAGAAGACGCGTGTGTGTGTAGTTCTTGATTGATAAATATTGAGCAACGATGCATCATTGATTTATGGTAGTGAAAAATCGATGGTATATATTAGTAGTATTTCGATCGAATGCCGATCTCTGCGAGTATGCTATATTTAGTTATAATAATAGTCAATAAGCGTCAAGTGGTAGCTACTATTATTGTATGCCTATTCTTCATTGCATCTCATGGTATAGCTACATAATCTGGAAAAAAAATAACCAACAACCTGCTCTTAGATTGCTGTCAACATCATATGTCAGTAATATATCAGCAGAGTACAAGAAAAAAAGAGCATATGTTTCTATCAACTATGTAACGAGACTATATGGCAACCGTAAATAATTGCAGAGTACCTGAATAGAAAGTAATTATAAGAAGAAAAAGCACCAAATAGTTGAGTTCAGACTTATGATTTATCAACATATAGAGAAAAAAAACAGTCTTTAAGGACGTACCTTTTCATGATTATCATTGATCTTCCGTGGCGAACAATATGTGTATAAAGCTATATTTTTTTATTTTATAGGCATTTATTAGCTGGATCGGTTTGTGTTCTGTGGTTTCTTTTGATATAACAAAGAAACAAACATATACACGTGTGCACTTTCAATTCAGTCTTCTTCGTGATCAGTTGTTGAGAACTTTTCGATTTTCTTCAATCAAAGCACTCCTCATAAGTGACTCTCTCTCTCTATCGCTGTCTCTGTATTGCTTTCTCTTTCTTCTTTCTCTTTATTTTTTTTTTCGTTTTAACATTAGTAGATGCTTAGGGAACGGTACGCTTACGTACCGAATGAAAAGAAAAAGAAGGACACTATTGTGTGCATAGAGCAAAAAACCGTAGTACAATTTTCTCTTGTTTTCTTTTTTCACACAATAAGACATTACTATCGTCGCCACTATTGATATCTTAGAAATACCGTAGCATCGTTTTTTTTGCTTGTTCTGTCCATTGCAATATCCTTGATAATTTCTTTCGTTTGTCGCTTAACCATATCATACTACACAATCAACAGGAATGATGACACTGATGTGACACACGATGAATCAATAAAAAAAATGTAGGTTTCTCTTCCCCCCCTCCACCCTCCCCCCTACCTCATTAGCGTTAAAGGATCGATAGAAAGAAATTTTTACGCATATTTGATGAATATTTCATATTTACTATTAAAAGAAAATCTAAATGATGATATGAATAAGATCACTTCATAAATAGTCTAATCAATGTCAAAAATCTAGCCAATCTAAAGATTATTTTATGATCATTTTGCATGAATACCTACTTGAATGATATAGATCATTTATTTGTGTTGCCAATGACAATAATATCTCTCTCCAAACAGCAGGAGAAAATGAATGAGAATAGGCCTCGAATATACTCTATATACTTTACCGATCAGACAAAAAATAACATATTACTGTTTACTAACGTCAAGTATACTTCTCTAATACAATTTCATGCATATATGATCGTAGACAGTAATAAATAAAATCAAGGTCAAGCAAGTCAATAAAGAAAGTGTATGGAGATGGAGAAACTGTACATAGCAAGAACGAATTCGACTTTATTCTTTCGTTTGATAGTTTTAGTCAGACAGCGTTACGCCTATGTCATTGATAATATTAGTTAAATGTCGATTCTATCGAAACGACATACAAGCGTGTAACAGATGCTTTTAAATAATCATTAACGTAACGTCAGCGTTTAGTTCCATTTTATTATATATGCGCACGCCTTTCTTTCTATCTAGATAATCATTTGTAGGCATAACAAAAGAAAAAAGAATTCATGCCGATTAGTTATAAACGACTCGCATCAAATCAAAGAGTCAAATATCGAAATTTAACACATAGATAAGATCTGGTCTTTTTTTTGTTATCATTTAATTTTTTTTATTCTTTTTTTTCGCAATAAAAACTACGATTGGTCGAGAATTTATTTGTTTCAATACGTAATTTCAAACCCTCTGTTTACCTTGAAAACTAGTGATAGGAGGGTTTGTATGAATAATCATTGTGCAATCGTGAACATGAATAATCGATAGTGGTAAGATCGACGAATTGAATACGAGACGTATATTGCCTTGATAAAACTCTAATGATATGGTTATACGTATGTTTCATATGGTGCAGTCAATCTGCTGTACAATTATATGAGAAATTCTTTAACAAATATTGATTTTTGAAGCTCTTATAGGCAAGAATAAAGAAGACAGTAATATAAAGCTGAATAAAAAAACTTCAGCTTTAATCCTTTAAAGTTTGTATGCAGTAAAAGCTCATTGAAAGATACTTGAAAAACAAAATGGATAAACACATCAAAGTTTATATTAAGAAAAAAGAAAATATAAAGAGAAAAATTAAAATATTTTCTTTTATGTTGACAATTCGAATCAATTTTGCATACTAAACTTGCAATTGTTCATTTCAAAACAATTTAGCATTCAATGCAAAATTACTTAGCTGCATAATTCAATATTGACAAATGAAATTCTTAATTCAATATTCTATTCTATCGATTAATAGAGATGTTCTAATCCTATATGATTTTAGTCTTATCAGTTATTAGCTATATCGTATTTTTAAACATATCGAGACGAATTAAGTCATTGCTAGAAGACATCAAAAATGACGATAAACATTTATGTAGCAATGACAGAGTAATAAATGTGCGGCATGTCATTAGACAACACAATTCAGACAAACTGTCAACAATATGTATAGAAAAAGAAAGTCTAGATTATGTACCATATCGCTGTAACCAGGAAAGAAACTATAGTAGAATAGCATATTTTAAGAAAAAATAATATTTTACTTCACGATAAACTTGAGATAGGACAAAAAGTAACAGAATCTTCTGGATAAAAGATTCGACTTTTTTCAATGCTATTTTACTTTTGCTTATTTTGTAAAATAATTCGACTCATCAATGTGACGCTCACATAGAATAATATTTACTTAATCAAGCGATTAATGACAGAAGGATTTTTCACCGGTGCTTTGTGAGAACGTTTTATTTTTGTATTGTCGTATTCGATTTCTCAAGTTCTTTTTGATATGAATCTCCTTGAATCATAAAATTTATTCCATGAGAGCGCGTGATGTAGAGAAAATACGTCACGCCCCCCCTGGTACCGATATTTGTCCGTAACATATTGCCAATGTCTTGATCTTAATGTTAAGTTACACCTCTAATGTTAAATTCAATAATAACAAAATAGAGCATATAATGCTGCAAGTTTTTGATTGAACTAATTTCTTGTTGTTTTAGTTTTTGGGCACCGTAATTCGTTCTGGTTATCAAAAAACTGATTAACTTCTATTAGTAATGGCATTGATGGATAGCAAGATATTAGAAGCAATCTAAAAAAAACAGATTCCCTTCAGTTGACAGTTTTTTCTTAAGCTCGTCAAGGTCATTAATTTATATAAAGCAGTTCGAGACATTAACAAGAAGAGTTCTAGCATTACAATTGAGCAATTGAGCAATCGAGATATAGTTTTATTCATTTGTATTGAATATAATTTAGATATTATTCGTAAGCATTTATTAATATGGTCATTAGACTATTCGTAAGTCTTTTTCTTTTTTTTTGTGACTAAAAATAAAACACGGCTTTTCTTTGGTGCAAAAAACAATGTTTTCTTAATGGGGCTCGTGCTTTTTTTATGCAGTTATAATTTTTGTACTCAAAATAAAAATATTCTCAAACGCCATATATCATCACTTACGGGTGGAAACTAAAGTGCATAGAATTGCACAACGATTAAGAAACATTATTGGCGTCATCAAACAAGGTTATGATGAAAATCACGACTAGTTGCTGTAACTTCAATAGTCATAAAAGAATGATTACATTTCTCGACCATTTATTTATATATGTATAGTTTCTTCATTCTGATAAAAATGTTGCTGTTAGCTAAATTTCATTTTTCTTTTTATTTCCGTGAATTTAAATCAGAATAATAAATCAATTCGTGCCTAAAAATACTTTCTATTGAATAATATATGCTGCATCTTTCTAAAGTATTCATAAGTCTTCTTTTTAATTATGAACGGGAAAACGAAATTCACCGAAACTAACGCCGTGGTAAAAAGCCAAGGTTGATGAAAGACTTATTTTTTCATGTCGCAACATTATTTGACTTCTCACTTTTGCCAATAACTGCCATCAAGAGAAAGGTCTTTTCCCCTCATTATTTTAATATAATTCGTTCCTCGCCCTATCGTCGAGGCAATGATGAAATTTCGTTTTATCAACAAATGTTTACCAAAAGATCGATGTCATAATGGAAGAGAAAAAAATTCATTAGATGTAAATCTTATGAGAGAAAAAAAAATCAGGTCTTATTGATTAAACGAATGCCGAGCGATAGAAAAAAGTCTATTTTCTTACCGTTGTCGAATCAACGTGCATCTTCGTGTGTCATGAAGAACTACGTGAATCATATCCTTAAGATGCCATAGAGAGATAGAGAGAAAAAGGGTGACAGATTGTTGCCCAGGTCTATGTATTACATTAACAACATGACGTCATGATGAGAATACTAGGCTGGCAGAAGGATGATGAGTCAAAGTTGTGCTCGCGTGATCAGCATATGTGGCTGATCTCTATGGTTAGCTTCAGCTCGAATCAATTATTTGGTGTTTTATTTATTTTAAGGGCCATAAGACAAGATCGAGAGGAGAAAATTTTTTTTATAGTGCTGCGAAATAAAAACCTTTTGTAATGTCTCTGCCCACACCATCACCGTTCTCTTCTCATGACGAATGAAGATAGAGAATAAAGGAAAAAAAAATACAGAACAAAAAAGAACACAGTGGTATTCGTGTATAAATACTCGAAACAGACGGCACATACATCATAACAAGCGATACTGACAATTCAATTTCTCAACAACATGAACTCTTCTATTCGTGGCCTGTAAAGGGTCGTTTGATATCGTTATTTTACAAGCATATTGACGATTCTTTCCACACATTTCAAAGTACGTTTAGTTCAATCAGACTAAAAAAAAGTAGGTTTTAAACAGCAATCGAGTGCATTATCATTCAATTTAATATGTCGTATCCGTCTTGTAGTGAAGTGTATTTCTCCACAGGGTCAAACAACTCCAGAACGAGTTTTATCTAATCCATGGTACGATAAAGGTTTTTGTGAACCACATCAATACAAAGCAGCTATTGATCGTTGTAAAGGTGGATATGATTCATGCGAAACATTCATTGATATTTTATCTGAACGTGCTAAAATTGAACGCAGCTATGTCGCTGATCTGGAAAAATGGTCAGACTCAAGTATAAAAGCAATTTCTCAAACAAAAGAATTTGGCACAAATAAAAAAGCTTGGATTGACTCAGTACGCGCTTCAAAAGAAATAGCTGATACACATAAAGATTTGGTTCAACGTCTTGAAGAAAATGTTATTGATAAAATGGTTACTTACAAAAAAGAGAACTATGGTAAATCAATTTTGCATGTGAAGAAAATCAAAGAATTCGAACACGATTTTGAACGAGCACAAAAATCTTGGACTAAGCTATTGGACAAAATTAGTAAAGCTAGAAAAGAATATCAAGATGCTCATCGTCAATGGAAAAGAGCTGAAACAGCTGAAAAAATTCTTGAATCTGATCGTGGTGCTGAAGACGAACAAAAAACAAAAGCTAAAATGAGTGTTAGTAGTTATAAAAAAGAAGTTGAATCGCTGAAAACTAAATATCAGCAACATGTTACCGATATGCAAAATACAAGACCACATTATGAATCTGCCATGGTAGAGGTGCTCAATCGTACTCACGATTTTGAACGTAAACGATTGGCACAATTCAAAGTGTCATATATCGAACTTCATAAATCTCTAATAATTGATAAAGATCCTCATTTAAAGACTATGTCAGAAGCATTTACAAAAGCAATCGAAAGTCTTGATGCCGAGAAAGATATTAACTGGTGGAATACTCATTATGGTAGTGGTACAAATAGTGCATGGCCATCATTTGAAGAACTTAAAGATTAATTGAAAAAAACTTTTGTTTCTATTTTTATGTTCATCGGATAGTCTGGAGAAGCATTTTAACAGAGTCAAAATCTCGGGAAAAATCTCTAAATGTACATTATCATTGAGTTCGAAGATATCGAAAAACAAAACTAAAAAAAACGAGGAACAGATTAGATATTTTTCCTGAGATTTCCTCGACATATGCTTGGCCTCGCTCGAAATGACTAGATTCCTTGTATTTGTATAAATGCCTGATGTTCTTTTTCGCAGTTTAACAACTTGTTTTTTTGTTTTTTGTTTGAAACATAATCACTTTATATACATATATATGTTTCTTTTTTTGTTATTATATTTTTATTATTTTTAATGAATAATAAGCCAGAAATTATTCAGAGCAGCAAAAATAATCTTTATTTCTCGTGGAATGCAAAAGGTAATATTTGTCTTATTTTGTGCCTTGGTTTTTATTATTCTTTATAAGAACTCCTTCTTCTTGTCTAGAATCATCACCTCAATCCCTTACACTTGATCAACAGCTATGCGATTGTTAAATCATAAAAAGTAACAAATTATATTACTGATAAAAAATTTTTATTTACTAATCTTTCATGTGCATGATAAACATTTAAAACGAGATGTTAAAGGTTTACATACATCACTATTATTAATATATATATATATATATATACATCCGACTTAAATGTCGACAGAATTGTCGATAGCGAAATTGAATCTTTTTTCATTATTACTCATATGTTTTATAATTATATGTTGCTTTTATGTGACTAAAGCAAATATTGATATCTGCCATCTAGCGATAATGGTACTTGATAGTCTATTTATAAGAATTACCTTGAAGAAGGGGTTATATTTCTGGCTAGTTTTGTTGATAGTTCCAAAAAACGAAGGAACTTTTTGTTGCAAACTCATCTTGTAATAGATATTTTCTTCAATAGGATTCAATCCGTTTATAAGACGATAACCTTTTTTTGTTGTGACAGATGTTTATATAAGTCAATACAAAGATTATACAATCTGTATCTTCGAGAAAATTTTCTATGAAATCAATAAAGCAAAGAATTAATGATACTATCACCGTTCATCGGATAATCAGCTATTCGAAAAAAAAAAGACAACAAAAATAAATATATATAGATATATAATATTTATTGAAACATATGTATGTAAATAGACTCTAATAGAAGCAATAAATCTAGTCGAATTATTTTGTCTTGATACATAAACATGCTTCAGAGCGAGGAAAAAAACAAACAACTGCTAATACCAAATAGCTATCTATGAATATTTCATAAAATAATGTTTGTCATATTCAATTAACTTTTACTAATTCTAAGCGTCATGTTTTTTTTTCTGTAAATTTTATTGTGAATAAAAGATGCAAATTTTTTTAATACGAGCGTGGGTAATAACAAGAATGATAGTCTTTTCCATGCAGTATTAGTTTCAATAGTTTTATATGTTTTACCAACGTAGATTGTATTTTTCTTTAATCTAGATAGAATATCATATTCTGATAACAGATTATGGTATTATCATTATTATGAGAAAAAAAAGACTTCGGTGAGATTACGCAATATGTTTTTTTTTTCATTCATCTTTACCGATCAAGACAATTGTCTACATATCGACGATTACAAATACAGAAAGTTACATCCGATAATTATTCACATTATTCAGAAGCTTACGGTATTTTTCTTTCGAAAAAAGGCATGAATGATTCAGAAACCCATCAATATACAAATAGTTATGTATGTTTTATTGCATAGTAATAAATACGAAGAACAACCTCTCAATTCGTAAAATGAATCACGTTCGCGATAATCATTTTTAAATTGAAATATCATAAACGAAGTCTAAGATAGGGTAGTAAACATCGTGACTCTTTGCATAAATCATCGACTAATATTATTTATCTGTACAATTCAGTGCATCATATATCGATGACAATGTCATATAATATTTCTCATTAACGTTCTATATCTAAATGGAAACAGCAGGAATTCTTTTGTTCTTTATCTCTTTTACAATAGTTTGTTCTCTTCAAACTTGACAAATAAAATAAGAAATTTCGGAAACAGATGACGCCATGTTTCTTTTGCATACAAGTAAAACATTCTGTTATTAATATGAATAAGTTTTCTTTAAAAATATCGAAAAATATAAAGGAATATTGTCAGGAATATGAATATTCTTTTCTTTTTTTTTATCAATCAAACTAATGATGTTAAATAAAACAGTTGTATGTTAGGCATATCTATATTATGATGGCTTTGAAGCGAAAAAAAATGTGAAAAACATGGCAAATAATTAATTAGGGTAGACACACACACGCACATACTGACAGAAATGGTTTGGTGTTCCTGACCAAAAATGAGAAAATGATTGAATAAATATGTAAATTAGAATTGAATTATCTTTTTTAATATATGAATTAAAAGATGGATTATATTAGATTTGATTTGAAGTTTGTATTTTGTATCATTGTTTATCTAAACTGTATGTATGTTTTCTATAATTTGACTTTTGTTTTGTTGTCTACATTTATTCTTCATCGGCAGCTGCCTCAGGTGCTGCTGCTGCTGCTGCTGCGCTGGCTGTCAATGGATTAGCACCACCACCAGGTTGTTTATTAAATTTATTTTCTAATTGTTTACGATTACGTTCATGAGGATGAAGTTTATCTTGGTAACAGCCTATTAAAAATAAAAAAAGGAACGAGAGAGAAGAATTATCTAATCATTTTCTAGTATATAAACTTACTCTTGCAAAAGACTTCTTGAGAAAAGTCTTTGTAGGAAGCTAATGTTAAAACTGTATTACCTAAAATCAAGACGAGAATAAAACAACAGCTACTTAAAACAATGACTGAATAGAAAATAGGCTTACATGTTTTACATTTAAAGCAACCCTTATGCCATGAACCACTACATGCAGAAAGTTTTTCTGCTGGATATACAGTCTTTTGACAACGTGGGCATTTGTCACCGCCTCCTCCATATTGTGGCATTGTTCAAATGGTTAAGAAAGAAAAAAACTATAAATATAATCTAGAATAAGATTTATTCATCTTCTTTTAAAGATACTTTTTTCTTTCACTGATCAATTAATCAATTAAGTCACTGTCTGTATGAACATGTGAATTCAAAAACTTCAGTACAACATATTTTGTCACATGCTAAACATATTCGATAATATTTAATTGAAGTGACCAAAAACTCAGATCGGCTATTGACTTACACAAGCAATAGTGCTCTATCGTATGATATTCTTGTTCTAAGTAGAAAAAAAAGTGCAAATAGATTATTTTCTATGGCATTAGCTTGTAGATATACAATTCTTTCGATCAGAAACGACGTAATAAGGAGACAGAGAAAGAAAAACGAGAAAATGGGTTTGTCTTTTCTCAATCAGCCTTGGTAGTATGGCTGTTATTCGTCGTTGTCGTTTTCCATACATATACATATATACAAAAAAACGTTTTTTCTTCTCGTTTCTTTTTCTTCTTCGTCTTCTGCCTTTCAATTTGCAGTTCTTATTGCTCAAATAACTAAGAACGTTGCTGTTACTGCTTTATGATAATGACGAACTATCTTTCTCTGTCTCTCTTTCTCTCTCTCTCTCTCTATCTATCTCATCAATCGGACAAAGAAGAGGTGGAGTAAGCAAAAAACAGCAACAGCAGGCATATGATGTGCTGTCAATTTATAACGCGATTTCTATTTCTATTCATATACTATTCATCTTATGTCGGCAGAATCAACAGTGTTAGTATGCATCGATGTCAGTAATCTAATGAGTCGTTATAAGCGTTAACTAGATAGCTATCTGTAAAGATGTGTTTGTTTTATAGTAGGGTGAAGATGAAACAGGAATGAAAGAAAAGAAAATGGGCCAAAGACGATTATTATTATCAGTTCTATGACGGAAAGTAACAAATCAACACTCATTTCTCCTTGTTACAAAGTACTACTATTAACCCCCTGATCAATATAAACGGAATTTATACTGCTTCGACTAATTCCTTACATATTTGTCATCTAGTCAAAAATCTATACTACACACACACAATTTATGGAACTCAACCGTTTTCCAAAAGTTTCTGTTACGAATAACAAGAAATGAATAGAAATTTTGCGACGTTATACTATCTAACCTAAAAACAGAAGTCTATTGACATTGTGCTATCAAAGATCAGACAGTAGATCTAAATAGAACGATTTATTACGTTGAGTTCTATCGTTATAGTATATTTTCTGTAGACATCAATCTGGATTTCGAATGATGCGGGTCTTCAAACATTGATTCATAATAAAATCGAATAAAATTATTTATATTGAATATTTCGACGTCAGATTACTGTGAAACTATTATTTGATGTTACCATCAGACTGAACACATTCAATAACGGAAAGTTGACTGATTGATCTCTATTTTTTCTTGAAAAAACAAGAAAATCAACTCTGATGAGTCTATGCTAGAAGCCAATCGTTCAATATACGAATATATGTAGTTTAGTTATCATCCTGTTTATGGCAGTCACAGTGCGAAGCTAATGAATCAACAAATAGTAGAAATTATGCGCAAAAAAACTTACTCAAACGATCATGACAAAACAATTTAGTTTCTATAATTTCTGTGCACATGAAATATAAGTGTCATTCTCTGTTGATATGTGATTGCAACTGTGGAAAATATGAATAAAAACGACTTTATTTTAGTAGAAGTTGTGAAACAAATGAAAACAATTCAAAGAATGAATAAAAAACAATTAGATATTCCATTGATGTTGATCAGGAAGATTGATATTTACTGCTTTAAATGTCTCTTACAAAACAACAAAAAATAGTTATTGACTTGATCGACAAAGGTACATAAACGAACCATCGAAATTCTTCTTCAGTCAAGTTGTTTATATCAATCATGAATAAACAGGAGAAAAGCAGCGAAAAAAGAAAATAGAGAAACAGAACATAATGGTTGCCACCAATATTACGAAGAGCATCATCACCACCGCCGCCACTACTAGTAACAACAACAACAAAAAACACTCCATTGGCCTTTATCTCAATATTTTGCATATTGACGCTGATTTTTTTCATCTTGGCTTAATATATATATATATACACATGTTATTCTAATATTCATTTAGAGTAGTTTATAATCAAATTTTGTTTCTTAACTATCAATCAAGAAAAACTTCTGCAAACACTCTGTATATGCTTTGAGAGAACTTCACGAGTTAATGCGTATATGTGATATATTAGAAGATGCCGAGATGGTATCAATGCGTATCGTTGGCTGATATCGCCTATCCGTACATATCGATGGCTACATACATAGTCTGAGTTGTTGTGTTTTTATTTTACTCATAGGATTGGTGAAAATGATACTTCAGTGATGAAATAAAATTCTGCCAGATATTCTTATCGTTTTTTTTTGTGTGTGTCATTCTTATTTGTATCATGGAATCGATATCTTTATTATTGTCTCGAAGGTTTCATGTAAAAGTCAAATTGTTATTTGTAAATGATAATACTATGTTTTCCATGCATATTACCCTAGAAAATTCGATTACGTCAATCTTTATTATACATTGTATTGGTATGAGAGAATTAATTATTATGGTTGACTTAGATAATAGTATTATATAAAATGTCGAAAAAACAGTAAAAACTAAACTTTTGAATAAATAGTTCGGAGTTACACAACTTTTGTTTGTTTAACATTGATGACCAAACACTTTAAATAAATGATGAGTGAGTTGAGAATAAATATTTTTCAAGAGACGAAACAAATATATCGGGAAATTAATATTTATCTGTATGTTTCGTACACTATTTTTTAGACAATATCTATCGTAAAAAGTTCAAATATTCTGAATTCAGAACTGCATATAAAACTTGCTATCGGACTCATCAATAAGATCTCTATGCAGTTCAAAATATTACTAAATATCGACAGTTGAATCCTATCTCTGTTATTCCGAATCAATTTAACGTTTTACAATTGTAATTTATCCAAAAGAAAAAACATGAATTGAAAAAGCGAAGTCTCTATGTAGACATTTTTCAACCAAACACGTTAATCACTCACATATCTTATATAGGACTCAGCGGTTAGACAGACGATGTGTATGATCGTTTTACACATTCTATCGAGTAGGAGTGACTTCCTGGTGTGCTGCTTCACCCAGGAAGTATTGCACTTAAGACGCAACCAATTACTGCAGTACATCTTACAATTTACGCATATTTTCGACAAAAATAAATCTAGTAAGTTGTAGATAAAAAGCGAAACGTTCAACATCTTACAGATGTATCATTGAAAGGACAATAAGAATCATAACATGGTTTTTTCCTACTATAGATACTTGACATATTGCACCGAATGTTTCAACATCATTAAACATGTCTTTGCACACACTTTGAAGATATTTTTATATTTCAGTTTAGCAAGATCGTTATCGCGAAATTTTCTAGCAAGTTCTATACGTTCAGATTGATAACCGACCATGAAAAGACGCTCAATAAATGTTATTCAGAGGAAAAATTCTCGATCGAAGCCTGTAAATCGCCTGAACATGTTTTTGACTATTACTCAATGATATTCAACGTACGTCAGTGAATATTTCACACGTCAAGATTTCAGTGAAAGTGCCCCCGCCCCTCTCAAATATCTGAAAAGGTTATCATGAATTATTTTCATCTTACTTCTTGTACCCTGTAGGTGATTCTACAATAGCAAGTCAAAGTCAATTTGTAAACAGTTGGTATCTCATATAGTAAATATTCCAACTGTTTCAGAGTTATTGAATTTATATTTTAACCGTATGTGTATTTCAGCAAAATGAAGAAAGTTCCACAAGCATTCGTTCCTATGACTGTTTATTGCCAAAACACAAAACATTTCATCTTTTTTTATTTCCTATAGATAGAAGTATTTTGAGATTGAGTAAATCCCTTGAAAATCTATAGTACTTCAGATTGTGATTTACTTGTGATGAAACGGAAATTGCGACTATCGAGTTTCCAGTAAACCAGTAGCTATATAAGAATATCCCGGAATCGAAAGTATCAACGGTAAGAATTTCTCTACTATATGACTCGTATTGCTCTTTAGAAAATAACGATTCACAAAAAAAAACTATTTCTATATGAAGTTCGCAAAATTTAGATTAAGATAAATACTGTTGATGCCTACTATATCTTCATAGTATAGCTCATCCGTTTGAAGCGCAGCATTATATCAATACTGAATGCGGTTTAGATGCTGCAATAGACTGTTTAAGTTTTATAATTTGTTAGAGAATTACCCAGGTCGTGGACGTACGGCAGGAAACGGCCGGAAAGCACAGGAAAGCGCTGGAAAGTAGAAGCAGTATTCCAGTTGGAAGTTACCGGATTTTCTTCCTGTAGATTCCGATCAACTTCCAGATGTAAAACACAGAAAACTGGCCGGAAAACACAGGAAACTGACCGGAATCCACAGGAAAAAAATCCGGTAACTTCCAACTGGAACACTGCTTCCAGTTTCCAGTGCTTTCCCGTGCTTTCCCGTGCTTTCCGGTCAGATACGGTGATTTTTCCGCATCTTTCCGGCCGGTTCCTACAGTATCCGTCCTCCGGAATCATTGACCTGGGTATGCTATAGTTATCCAGCTGACCACAGATTTTAATCAATTGAACTAATTCGATGTGGTAATTTAGGTATTAAAAGCTGTTATTCATGCGGATATCTCTAATGGTGATGTTTCTTTTGCTTTTTTTCGACAGTAATGTAGATGTCGTTAATTTGAATTGCTTGTTTCGGTAAACAATTACAAGTAAGAAATTGTTTTTAATCTCTCTCAAAATTGTATTATCACTCCTATAAATTGCGAGAAACAATCGTTTTGCTCCAATGACATCGATGTAGTTGACAACATTTTGATCTATTTTTCATAACAATACACTCATCTGTTAACGATTTTTTCGAGGAAAAATCTTGATGATTACTTTTCGATTAATTAGAAAAAAAACTTTTCTGCTGACTTTATATCAGTTATATTCAATGTATCGTTGGATGCATCATGTATATCTGGATATTTTCAAAAATAAAAGTAATACTTACCATCGAACAATAGTATTTATGATTCATAGCAATGCTTAATCGTTCACTGTAAACTACATATAATACAAAGTAAGCGAATAATATGCACTGAAGAAAAACATTTGTATTTTTGCGTCCTTCGTAAAATTATTTACTGGTTTATTTGTTGTCTTTCAACACAATAAACATGTTGTTTCAATCACTAGTTGTCATTTCTTGCTTTCGCAACATGTTTTGTTTTAGCTTTTCCACACGACAAATCTTGTTTTTTATCCCAAATTTTATTCGTTTTTTTACATAAAGCTTGTTGAACAATAGTTGAATAAAATTTGCATGCTTGCCAACAATATATTTACAAGATGAAAAAAAGATGACATAAATGTGCGTAAGTGCAATAATTTGGTTTTAGTTAAACTAAGCTAAAAATAGGCTAACCAGCGAAAATCTTATCATACGCTTTCAAACCTAAAATTAATACTAATCGAGTGAAGACAATAGAATAAAGTTGAATAAGATAATGATAATAATCATAGTGTCTCACAGCAAAAATTTCACCAAGCAGGAAAATCATCACTCGGATTTACAGACAAAATACGAAAAAGAAACAGAAAAAAACCGTTTAATTGCTTTCACTTTCTTCATCCGGTGCCATGGCATACGCTTCTTCCGCTGCCATGTAATACTTAGTAGCAAGACGTCCTTTCATTGCTTCAGTCGCCATTTCTGCAGCTTTGTTAAACAAATCACCTTGGAATAACAAGAAAAATATTTAGATACCTCAAATTTGACTAAAATAACAAAAGACGAACGAAAAAATTACCTGCTTTTTTATAATCACATTGTAAATTATGTCCACCTGTTTTATACAAAGTAGCTAAACGAGCAACAATATCATGATGATCGTGAAATGAAATTCCGTTATCAGTTGAGTCTGTTTGAGCTGGTTCATTAGTTTCACTATCTTCAGCAATATTCGTTGATTCATTTTCACGTATTTGAATATATTTTTCATAATACATCGCTGCTTGTTTCCATTCAGATTCTCTGAAATGAACAAGAAACATAGAACAAAAATGAATAAAATTACAAAAATTCATACAAAGCTCCTTCGATGCCTTTATCATAGAATTGTGCCAAATAAAGATTTGCTTCTATTTCTTGAAGTTCACTGGCGCGAATCAAGAGATTTATACCTTTTGGAGCTAGATCGCTTTGCTTTTATGGAGAAAGAAAAAAAAACAATAGAAGATTAGTTTCCATGTTAATACTTATTATCCAAAAAAGAAAATAAATCTACCATTGGACGATAATGTGATAATAAATCACGTGGCAAATCCAGATAAATTTTTGCAAGTGTAAATATGGCATCTTTGACATATAATTCAGCTGCTTGTTCTAAATGAAACAATGCTGATTCTGCATCGAAATCTTCAGTGCCTAGTTCGCTAAATCGACCAACTTGATAACATTTACACATTTCAAGATGAATCTAAATTGAAAAGATCTTGTCGAATGACAGATAATGATTAGAAGAGAAGAAAAAGTTTAATTACATTTTTCATTAGGAAGAAATAAAATAATTTTATGGGCAACAAAGAGAAAAATACTATCACCATAGGAATATAATCAAATATTAAAAACAGCAATCTTTTGATGTATGATCCCTGCGGGATTTCATGATGAAATCATTGAATTATGAATCAATAGCTATGATTGAAGATTAAACAGGAGCGATCTTATTTTACTACATGTCCGTTAGGACTAGAATCGAATAGATTAGTCTCTTGTTTGTAACTAATGCGACTATAGAAAGTCAATACTGCAAAACTATATTATGAAAATGAATTCAAGTAAATCTTGTCGTTCGATCAACATTCGTTGATTATAGAAAAATAAAATCTGCAGGTTTTCATTAAAATATCAAATATTCGTTCGATATTTGCAGTAATCTCGATATTCCAAATCCAAATTAAAAACATTCAAATTTAAAGCTGATGAAGGCAAACTGTAGCACCTGAGCATCAAACTTTACTACAAAGTGCAATGATACTGATACTTATTTGAAATTAGCCAGGAAAACTAAAGCAATATTTATATAGTGAAGCATATTATTTTAATACAATTTTTTCAATCCAATATATTTTACTGGAATAATACAACCCTGGTTCGTAAATAATATCTCAATTTTCATTCTAATCCCAAATATGAATCAATATCTTCAATCTTAAAATGTGCTCAAGGTACTGCCAGGTGCTAGGGATTGCAAACCTGTACCTGTAGTTCTGCTTAAACCTCATAAATAATCATGAATCATCAAGTGAATTTAAGAAAGAAAAGAGAAAGAACTGATAATATACCTGTCCCAGAATACTTTCATATTTTTCATAACACGCAGTTATTTGTTGCAATTTTTCCATTTGAGCCTTTTCAAGCATAACTGATGAAGCCCGATGATGGTTTCCATAGCTACTTGGTGTTTGTGCATTGTAAATATCTTCGAGATTGAAAGTCAAATCCTTAAAAAGTAAAAGAAAAAGAATATTTAATCAGCATTCTTCTAGATTATTTGACTACTTACAGAATGTGAATGCGAATAATAGTTCTGCACACAGCAAGCAAAACAAATAAAAAAGTGCATTTCAAAACAAAGCATAATTATCATGCTATCAGAATAATACTTACAGGCGATGGGCTATGTAAACTAACCGATGTTGATAAAAATTGCCCTCTATTTTTTGTCATTGATGTTGATAATGGAAAATTTTCATCACTGAGTGTTGTCAGTAACTGGCCATTTTGTGGGACGGATACACTGCGATCAATTAAATTAGCGTTCGCACATGTAATTGACGATGCTTCCGAAACATAACCATCGGATTCGTCTTCTGATATTGATGATTGCGAACGAAGTCGTCGAAATAATGAACCAAACATTGAAAGACCATTCAATGGTTCTTCTGAACCACGACATGCTGTTTGTGCTTGCATATTCGGTGCATGCAATGGACTTGACACATGTTGCATATGTCGATCAAGTTCACCAGGTGATAAGTCAAATGGTGTCAAATTAAGACGTGCACATATTGGATTACATTCATGAGTTGAAAAAAATAAAGTCATGCCACGAATACCAAGATTACCCTCTATGAAAAAATTCTATCAAGATAAAATTTACCGCAAAGCAAAATTTCTCACCGCCATATTCAAAACCAAGACTTGTATGAATTTGCGGATCAGTATATAAATCGCCAACACCTTGAATATCAACAACAATCTGCTCATGACATGATGCTTCGAATGTAAAATGGCTAAATGCCTTTGAATAAAACACAGAAATTCTTTCATTATTATTCAACAATATAGGACTAGAGAAAAGGTACCTGAGGTGTATGACGTAGAGTATTATCATCGCAAACGAAGCCACTATTGGAATTATATTTGATATAATTTCCTTCCTAAAGAAAAAAAATCAAACTGCAAACAAATTTTTCTATTTGTTTATTTTACAATAAATCGTTCTAAATGATAATGAGGTCGGCCAGCACGATCTTTAAATTCCAAAACACTCATTTGCACGATATCGACCTTAAAAAATAGCAATAAATTCATTTATTTATTATAATTAAAAATAAAAGAAATACTTTTTTAGGTGGATTATGTTGATTGTAATGTGATGCCCATAATTTTGTTGTCATTTGCATCATAACATCATCAAAATAGCGTGATGTTGGTACCTCATCCGTATATCGTTTAGCGATATAATTGCTTGAATGATCCCAATCGTGATGAGACGAAAAAGCAGAAAGCTTTTTTCTACAAAAATTAAAAATTTTCCATAAACCTAAAAATTATTATACAATGAACTTACAATCGAAAACATTCTCGCATGCTACCATGAGCAAATGGTTTCGATTCAATTTTAATCGTTATATCACTTGTATGCCATGTACGTTTAATAGGATCAAATTCATGACGTATAACATTTTCTTCTGGATAACGATCAATTTTGAAATCACCCCTAAACACATACGAAAACCAGTTATGAAATAAAGATTTATTGAATAATTCAGACGTACCATGGATCTTTAAGTTTAATAACTTTTCTCGCTGCGTCTTTCCAACGAACAAGAGTTTGGGATTTTGCCCGGCGAATTAAACGATGCTTCGCATGAAAATTGGACATACCAACGTTGTGCTCATATGAACGTTTTTCAGTTAGTGATTGAAGTTGATTAACGAAACTGAAAACTCCGTCACCTTCAGTAATTGGTAACATATTTTCCCAGTCATCGTCGACTGTACTCATGGATGATGGTGTACGTTCACGTTTTTTTGTTCGTTCAACATCCAATTGCAAACCAATACCTTCATCGGTTGATGGCGATATTTGATCGAGTTTTTCTTTAGAAGAATGGTCATCTTCCAATGCTCCAAATATAAGATCATCATCTTCATCATGGCGATATTGTCTGTGATCAGTACAACGAACTGTATCATCTTCACGAATAGATCGTGGTACGTTCAATATAGGAGCCATGTGAAACATTTTTTGTGTCATGGTTCAATGATGAATATTTATTTATGTAGTGAATATGAATAAAGTCGACTGACGCTTGCCAATCGTATGAGTTGAATGTTTGCCTCTCTAATGTTTTAAAAGCACTGATAATGCGTACGATTGATTTTTTTTCCTTCTTATTTGCTTATCACCACCGCGTTAGCTTTATAGTATGCATATACTATCTAGAAAGAAAACATACAAAAAATTGTCTTGACTGTAATCGAACATGGTTTTGCAGTACTCAATTGACCCATTTTTATCGTCATGTGCTCGACACTCGTTTATTTTAGATCGCATTTTTTCTTTCTGGTTGTTTCTTTAAAAGAGGAAAGCGAGCCTGGATTGGATAGAGGTCTCAACTAGTTTCACATATTCATACTCAAGGTTTGATACACGTATTCTATTCGATACGTTTTTCTCCAGTCGGCTTGCTTCAGTGACTCATTCGTCCGTGCATCTCCGCCACCTATCCTATATACATATAATATATTTTGTACTTTATATTAAATATCACTAATAAATTCTATTCATATGTAAAATAGTTTATCATATAAATACAGAAATCTACCAAAAAAATAAACCATCTGTCCCATGCATAATATTTAATAGAAACTATTTCAATATACTCGATCAAGTCTTTGGGAGTTAAATTTAATGATAAAATAAAACATTTAGTTAGTTTTATTAGAATCTTAATCAGCAATATTTATGCGTAAAGAGTATTTTTCGTAACTCACGAGTAACGGAAGTAATTGTTCTGAGTAATTTCTAAAATTCAGTGATTCAAACTATTGAATGGAAGAAAAAAATTGTAATTTATTTCAAGTAAACGTTTTATTATTAATATGAATGGATTATTTTTCATTTATATTATAAACTAGCATTTCGTTTTTTTTTCTATTAAAGATTCGACCATAATCATGGATGTATTCGTTGGTGTTCCATCACCTTCAACACAAATTCCTGAAAGTAATGCTTTGGATGATATGCGTCGTGAAGCTGAAACAAATGCCCTTCGAATCATTCAAGCTAAATTAGAAAAACCAGAAAATCTTGAAAAACTGGATCAACTACGTACTGCTGCTGCTCAACGAAAGGTTTTTTTTTTATCTTGGACGACAATAATAAAAGCAATTCTCTTAATCATTTTATCGTATATATGTTATTATTTTAGCGTACACTTGATGAACAATTACGTACAGCAGTTCAATCACAATTAGAAAGTATCAAAACGGGCATTGAACAACTTCGAATATCTTTTGATAATATTAAAACCGTTAAACAAACAATGCATGAAACAGATGATAAATTACAAAAAATAGCTCCATTACAATCAAAACTTGAAGATTTACGTATTGAAGCAAATTCGTATAGGTATTTCAGTTTAAATTAGTTTTATTGTTTGTAGTTAAACAATTTCTGTTTTAGACAACTTTCTCTTGCTCAAGCTAATCTTGATTATATTATAAAAACACCTGAAAATGTAAAAAAAGCTGATGATTTTATGGGACAAGAAAAACTTTTACAAGCTCATCAACTTATAATGGAAATTGAAAACTCTCGAAATTATCTCTTATTTGAATTGCATAAAGTGCAAGAAAAAGATTCACAACCTGATGATATACAATTGATTACAACTTATTTTGCTGATTATGAAAGACTTGTTGCACATTTACGACAATTAATTTCATTTCGAATTTCTCGTTGGTACGATTGTGCCATAAGTGCACCAGAAAAACTTGTTACTGCATTACGACTTATTGAACGTGAAGAACAGTAATAATAGAATTGCTTTTTTTTATAGTTGAGTTTGAAAATCTATCTCATTTCTTTTTAGAGTCGATCGATTTTGGATGGAAAAAAAAGAATTAACTGGATTTAGTCCACCTGACCGACCAAGACAATGGAAAAAACTTTGTTTTGAATTATTAAGAAAAAGTGTTAAAGATCGGTAAATAAAAGACAAGTTTTCTTCTTTTTTTCTTCTACGATATTATTCATTGATTTTCTTTAGTATTGAAGGCAATCAATTAGAAACACGCGAAGAACATAAATATTGGTTAACACGTCATTTAGAAATGTGTCGACAAATATTTCTAAGGGACTTTCGAATTATTACAGTAAATACGAAACACATAATATTATGAATATTCTTTTCTTTTTTTTTGCTTTTCAATTAGAAAACTTGTCTTCGTTGTTTTCCAAAACAATATGATATTGTTAATCGATTTCTTGATTATTATCATAATTGCCTGAAAGAACATCTAACTGAAATATGTGATCCAAAACGACGTACTGAAGGTGATACGTTGACAACAGCAGAAGTTTATACGATCGTTACATTTGTTCGCGATTACCAGTAAGAATCAGTTCGAAGAAGAACAAAAACAAATAAGAAAAACAATAAAATATTCATTTTCTTTTGGCATTTATAGAGGTGCTGAATGTTTGGGTAATCCTGAATTGAAATTAGATCTTACTCAATTATCTCCATTACTCGAAAAAGATATACTTGCTGCAGTAACTGATGTATTTATCAATGAAAGAAAACAAAAATTTACCGAATGGATACCCAATATTATAGCATCGGAAGTCAAGGTTTGTTTATATTTTAATATTTTTTAAAATGTTCTCGTGTGATATGAGTTAAGATCGTTTCGTTGTTGTTTTGTTTTCGATAACAATCTTCACTCGATTCTGAGCACCTAACTATTGTAGATTTCTCCGAGTTCTATTGAAATCGAGTTTTTGAATCAACAGAAGATTAATACAGTTAACTTGATTTTCTCGTTAGGTGAATTTAAAAAAATCATTGAATCTATTTTTCGAATCAGAGTGAATCACTTATTTCCTGTTTAATTTTCCCCAATGATTAGTTCTTGATAGTATATTCTTATTTTTATTTACACGAGAACCAACAATAATAATATTCATAGAAGACAATGAATTGATTCAAACACTAATCATGATCTCTTAGACTATTTTGAAAACTATAAAACGGCAACTGATCTATCATCTTTAATTTTATTATTCTCATTATTTTGAATATAATCATCTTGCTAGGATTGGTATGCATTAAAAGAAGTAGAATTAACATCTGAACATTATTATGCCACAACAATGCCACGTATGTTAATAAATATGATTATTGAAACACTTGACATGGCTAAACAAATGTCTGATGAAACATGTCAACTAATTCTTGGTATGATATTACAAAAAATCAATGAATTTCGTGACTTATATGTTAATGAAATCAATAATTATGCTAAACGATATTTCGGAGATCGACAATCGTTTAAAGAAAATTTTACAAAACAAATGGTAGCTAATGCAAACAATTGTGAATCGATACCAAATTTTGTACTTATTGTACGTAAAAAATATGATCGCGATGATCTTGATGATTTATCACGTTCATCACAACAACAACTGGATCGTTATGAGAGCATGGGGAAGAAATTTGAACGTACAGCTGAATATTGTTGTGAAGTAATATTACAAGAAATCGAAGTAGATACAGTAAAATTTCTTAAAATTCTTTTTACACGTGAATGGTTCGGTCCAACAGCTAAACAATGTTGTGGTACAATCATTGAAACAACACGTGATTATTGGAGTACTGAATTAACACATTTGAAAAAGCCTTTGCTAGCGTATCTTTTTTATACATGGCACAAACGTATATTAGCTCATTATCTACGTAATCTATTTTCACGTAGTACAAATATAAAATTTGCTACACCAGCTGAACGCCGTGTATGTGCTGAGCAATTACGTAAAGAATCATCTCAACTCGATAAAGAATTTAAAATATGGGATGGAGCATCAACAGATAATGCAACGGAATATCATTTTAATATATTATGCAATATTGCCGATGTGCTCGAACAAACAGATTTAGATTCTATTGTACTTGAAATAGCAACATTAGCAAAGAAATATCCAAGTTTAAGTATGGATCAAGTCACACAACTTTTATTATTACGGGGAGATTTAACTAAACAAGAAGCAAAAGATAAAGCTGATGCTGCATTAGCAAACATGCCACGTGTTAGTCAAGGAATACTATCTGAAATCATGGAAATTGTCAATCAAATTAATTGATATTACAAATAGAATATCTAAAAAGAAAAAAAATTATTCTTAATGTCTATTTAATTATTCATTTTCTTATTTATGTATATTTATCTGCTTTTTTTTCTTTCTTTCTTTCTTTCTTTCCTTGTTATCTACAATGATTATTCCAATTGATTTCCAACAAAATAAATAAAGTATAAATATATAAATGCAAAAAGCGACAGATATATTTATCCCATCACAGTTTACAGTACTTTTCAAAATGAATATGAAAATGAATCATTCACATAAATTAGATGTAGTAAACGAGTACAATACTATTAAATTAACATACAATTATTTTTCTCGACGAATTAATTACTTAAAGCTAATGATCGAGATTGTAAAAAAAGATTCAGAAGAAACGGTCTTGATCATGTTCTGCAATGGAAAATGTTTTTATTGTTCGATTTTTTATGTTCGATATGATTGTTTTCATCTAATTTTTATGTCATGCTCAGGGTTGCCAAATCCAAATTTTAGAAATCAAGAGTTAACTAGGAGATTTTTTTCTGAATCAGGAGAGAAATGAGGCGATTTTCATTTGAAGTTTAAGAGCTGTTTAGTGCTTGATTATCAAAGAAAATTCAATTTTTCATTGCTACATTCGATAGAGCTCGTTGAGTTTCAACTTGGTCCATCAATTTTGGCTCTGGGATCTCTATGGAAGCAAATTTCGACAGATGTTTTGCTAGTTATGAGTTTTTGACATTTATTAGCAGTCTTTTCAGGTTTTCTCTATAATGTCAGATCCAAGAAGAGCAAATAAAGTGCGAATTCGATCGAGCTCGTCAAGATTTATCTTGGTACATGAATTACGTCCTGTGAAAATGTTGTGGGACCGAATCGCGATAGGATATACTCGAATCCTGACCTACGATAGTCTACGTCTTGCTTTTTATCTGAATTTCAACAAATAATTACTTTGTAGAAATTAATTCATTTTATTAATAGATGATGTTAGTTTGATAAAAGTACGAAGAACAACTTATTTTCTTATACATTATCGAATAAATATTGCAATAGTTCTTTTCTTCTTTAAACTTTTTTGTTTGTTCAAAATGTCACAAACGAATAAAACTAAAAAATCAGGAGTCTTCTGGTCAAAACAAGAGGTTTGGCAGTCCTGCTATCAGTGCACTTTTCTAGGGTATGTGGGTATGAATGACTAGATGTAACACACCCACACACGCAGTGACGTTTTTTTATCAACTAAGCACGAAGATATTGGATCTAACCAGGAGCGTAAATAGGGGGGGGGG